CTCAATTTCATTAGTCCTCCGTCGCACAACCAGTGGATCAAAGATATGATGCACAACATGAAGCTGGAGGAAATGATGCACTCTCAGCGGCTCCATTAAGAGGTTTTACAAAACCTGGAACTGATTAATGAACCATTTGAATAGTTTACCAGGAGTCAGATTACAGAACCATCCTAACTCTGAAATCTGATCTTTTTAGTCTCCATGACGACTGAATTTAGGACAGTAGCTATTCCAGAATAACAGTTCCTAACTTCATAATCTCATCATGAACTCCAGATAAGAAAACAGCATTACACAAGCATCCTAACTAGACTAAACCTCCTAAATCCTGTCCTAACTTTAGGATGAACCCCAACAGGGTCCTCACTTCTGTTTAAGGTCCGTTTCTATGGTTTTTAGGCAGCTGAGTCAGCAGCATAGTTCACTACCAGCATAATGAGCTCCATTTGTTTCTACTGTAAAACGCTGCTTTCACTGTGAGATGATTTTCTTTTCTAACTCTGCGTTTTAAAGATCTCAGACGCTGCAGACTCGATCTCCACCGCCCCTCTGATCACCTTCGTGTGTTAATGTTGATGATGAAATATTACAGTGATGGTGGTGAATAATGAGGAGACGGAGCTGAACGTGTGTCTGTTTATTAGGAGGAGTAACGTTAGCGCGCTCGGCTAAAGCGTTTGGGAAATGGAGACTGAAACTGGGGAGCGGCGACGCTCTGATAAACAGCAGGGGGCGCTCTCACAGCATTCACACCTTACAGTTTATCACACTTTAGTTCAGTTTGAGCTTTTTTACACCAGTAGCAGCAGCTTAACTCACATTTTAACACTATTTTGATGACGTGTTTACGTTTCAGCTGTGTATGGTTGGTTGCCATGAAACAGACATGACAGCTGATTGTTGACTTTGATCGAGTAGGTTAAGATTTCCTAATTGGAAATCAGATGCTGTAAGACTCATATATGTAAATGAGCTCTGTTCTGATTGGACTTGCCTCATTTGTAAAGCTGTTTGGGCTGTGTGGGGCTAAACTGCTGTAGACTGAATGGTGGAGCTAAACTGCTGTAGACTGAATGGTGGAGCTAAACTGCTGTAGACTGAATGGTGGAGCTAAACTGCTGTAGCTGAATGGTGGAGCTAAACTGCTGTAGACTGAATGGTGGGGCTAAACTGCTGTAGCTGAATGGTGGAGCTAAACAGCTGTAGACTGAATGGTGAAGCTAAACTGCTGTAGACTGAATGGTGGGGCTAAACAGCTGTAGACTGAATGGTGGGGCTAAACTGCTGTAGACTGAATGGTGGGGCTAAACTGCTGTAGCTGAATGGTGGAGCTAAACTGCTGTAGACTGAATGGTGGGGCTAAACTGCTGTAGACTGAATGGTGGGGCTAAACTGCTGTAGCTGAATGGTGGGGCTAAACTGCTGTAGACTGAATGGTGAAGCTAAACTGCTGTAGACTGAATGGTGGGGCTAAACTGCTGTAGCTGAATGGTGGAGCTAAACTGCTGTAGGTCGAATGGTGGAGCTAAACTGCTGTAGACTGAATGGTGGAGCTAAACTGCTGTAGACTGAATGGTGGGGCTAAACTGCTGTAGCTGAATGGTGGGGCTAAACTGCTGTAGACTGAATGGTGAAGCTAAACTGCTGTAGACTGAATGGTGGAGCTAAACTGCTGTAGCTGAATGGTGGAGCTAAACTGCTGTAGGTCGAATGGTGGAGCTAAACTGCTGTAGACTGAATGGTGGAGCTAAACTGCTGTAGACTGAATGGTGAAGCTAAACTGCTGTAGACTGAATGGTGGGGCTAAACTGCTGTAGCTGAATGGTGGAGCTAAACTGCTGTAGGCCGAATGGTGGAGCTAAACTGCTGTAGTCTGAATGGTGGAGCTAAACAGCTGTAGACTGAATGGTGAAGCTAAACTGCTGTAGCTGAATGGTGGGGCTAAACTGCTGTAGACTGAATGGAGGGGCTAAACTGCTGTAGCTGAATGGTGGAGCTAAACTGCTGTAGCTGAATGGTGGGGCTAAACTGCTGTAGCTGAATGGTGGAGCTAAACTGCTGTAGACTGAATGGTGGAGCTAAACTGCTGTAGACTGAATGGTGGAGCTAAACTGCTGTAGACTGAATGGTGAGGCTAAACTGCTGTAGCTGAATGGTGGAGCTAAACTGCTGTAGACTGAATGGTGGAGCTAAACTGCTGTAGCTGAATGGTGGAGCTAAACTGCTGTAGGCTGAACGGGTGGGGCTAAAGTGGTTTAGGCTGAATGGGCGGGGCTAAACGACTGTAGGCTGAATGGGAGGGGACAATAGGGTGAATAAGCTTTGCAACACTAGCTGAATGAGTCAACAAATGTAAACATGTTGGCTTTTATGATCATCACAAAAGCAATGACTTCTAAACAAGCTGTTTCCTGTAGTTAGTTTCCGTGTGGACTGTATGGACACTTTCACTTTACAAGGTGAAGATAATTCGTTTTTGCATGTGTCCATTAACATGACAGAGCAATTCCCGCACTCACCAGTAGGGGCTCCTGCTCCATCCAGAACATTACAATCAGCGATTCTAATCAAATTTTAGGGTCCCGGTTCTAGACAGCGCTCCCCTGGGCACTGGGGCGATGGTGTGCGTGCTCTCTGAGTGGAGCTGCAGAGCTCGGTCCATTAGCGGAATCTGATTACAGAGTGCTCATCCTCCTCATAACTGTCCAACGGGAAACTGCATTAGCGAGTGGGTGTGGTTCCTCAGAACTTCACTGCTCACACTCTTCATTGAGGTATGACATCATCGCAAAGGATGACATATGAAATATAGTAACAAAGTCCTTGGCGACCATCTCGGTGGCTCCCAGGCAGTTATTTCCAGTCCTAAAGACCAGCTCCTCTCACTCTGAATGGAGAGGGACCTGAAACTGAAAGCCACACTAACGTTCCAAAAACAATTTTAAATTCTCTGGGAAAAGCTGACCAACACACCTTAAACTGACCATAATATACCATGAAATACCTCAAATAGACCATAATATACCATAAAATACTATAAAATACCTTAAAGAGACCATGAAATACCATAAAATACCTTAAATAGACCATGAAATACCATAAAATACCTTAAATAGACCATGAAATACCATAAAATACTATAAAATAACAAATAGACCATAAAATACCTTAAAATACCTTAAACAGACCATAATATACCATGAAATACCTTAAATAGACCATAATATTAAATTAACCTTAAACCCTTAAATATTCAGCATAAATAATGCACAAAAACATTTTCTCAGCTTGTTCTCACTACTGCACATGTGGATAACTCAACAATGAGAGGGGTAACACTAGTGGACATTAATGTCAAACATTACGAGGAGCACTACTGGACTGTTATACCACAGTTAAGAGGTAACACTACTGGACACTACTCACAGTCTAGGAGGAGAAGCTAACGGATGCTAGTGCTGTGGTTTAAGAGGCAACACTAGTGGAGGCCACCGGGGCACCTGAGGCAGTAACACCCTCTGGACACTAATGCCACAGTTTAGGAGATGATGCTAGTGAAAATTAATGCTACAGCTCAGGAGGTGACACTAGTGGACAATAGTGCCTCAGCTGAGGAGGTGACATTAGTGGACAATAATATCACAGCTCATGAGGTGACACTAGTGGACAGTAGTGCTACAGTTTAGTCGGTGACACATGTGGACAGTGCTACAGTTTAGTAGGTGACACTAGTGGACAGTAGTGCTACTGTTTACTAGGTGACACTAGTGGACAGCAATGCTATAGTTAAGGAGGGCATACTAGTGGACAGTGACATTAATGGATACAAATGCTACAGTTTAGGTGGTGACACTAGTGGACAGTAATGATACAGTTTAGTAGGTGACACTAGGGGACACCAATGCTAGATTTAAGAGGTGACACTAGTGGACAGTGACACTAGTGGACACTAATGCTACAGCTTAGGAAGTGACACTAGAGGAGCCTAGTGCTGGATTTTAGTAGGTGACACTAGTGGACCCTAACGGTAGATTTAAGTGGTGACACTAGAGGACGGTGACATTAGTGGACACTAATGCTACAGATCTGTAGGTAGCACTAGTGGACGCTAATGCCAGATTTAAGTGGTGACACGAGAGGACAGTGACACGAGAGGACAGTGACACTAGTGGACACTAATGCTACAGTTTAGGAGGTGACACTAGTGGACGCTAATGCTAGATTTAAGCGGTGACACTAGAGGAAGCGACACTAGTGGACACTAATGGACCCTAACGGTAGATTTAAGTGGTGACACTAGAGGACGGTGACATTAGTGGACACTAATGCTACAGTTCTGTAGGTAGCACTAGTGGACGCTAATGCCAGATTTAAGCGGTGACACGAGAGGACAGTGACACTAGTGGACACTAATGCTACAGTTTAGCAGGTGACACTAGTGGACAGTAGCGATATGGGTGATGAGGTAACCGACAGGCCTGATGGGACAGTTCTGCAGGGTGGAGACCCGCACTGACTTCAGAAAGGCGTCAGCGTCTCAGAGCTGAAACTGCGGACTGGTTTCCGAGAATGAAATCAGCCGCTGCTCCTCATCTCAGTCTGATCACGTTCACAAACAACCAGAGGCTGAAGCTCCGCCATTGGACCAAACACCAAAAACACAAGCTCTTAAAAAAGCAGTCTCTTATTTGAACTCGCCCGTTCCACCTTAAATGATGCAGCAGAGACATTCAGGCGCTGTAACTGCTGCATCATTTAAGGTGGAGCTGAACATCGGACTAAGAAGCTGGTGAATATGAAGCCAACTTGAGGCTCAAATCGACATCAACAACCCCCCCCCCACCACTAACGCATGCACACGCGCGCGCACACAGCCCATACAGCGCCGCACGCGCGCTCCCACACCCTGTATCTTCCCCAGTACCCTCGCGCTGTTCCCCTACAGCACCCCCCGGATCTACCCCCATCTCTATATTATTTAATGCCCCCCCACTCACCTGTTTCACGCGCCCCGGAACCGGAGACCCCCCCTCAGTGGGGGAGCGCGAGGGATCCTCCATCCTCACAGCAGCGCGCGCTCAGACCGCCGCACCACCGCAGCAGCTGCAGCGCGAGACTCCTACACCAGCGCAGCGCGCGTGCGCAAGTCAGACACAGCGAGCGAGCGAGCGAGCGAGAGAGAGGGAGAGAGAGAGAGAGAGAGATATGCTTTCTCTTAACGCTGCTGCTGTAACACTGGCGCGCGCCCCTCGGAGCAAAGCAGAGGACATCCACTCACACGGATGACGAAGCAGATACACACACACACACACGAGCTGAGACAATCGATAAGCACGAGCGGGGGGAGCGGGGGGAGCTGGGGAGCTGGGGTAACGTCACCGCGAGAGAAACGCCATGATCCAGACTGGGCGGTAACCAGAGAGAGAGAGAGAGAGAGAGAGAGAGAGAGAGAGAGAGAGAGAGAGAGAGAGAGAGAGAAAGAGAAGAGAGAGAGAGAGAAGAAAAACAGAGAGGATGTAAAATAGAGAATGCAGAGAAACAGAGAGAGGATGGGAGAGAGAGAGACATAGAGAGAAGGCAGAGAAAGACAGAGAGAGAGGATGAGAGAGAGACATAGAAGGCAGAGAAAGACAGCGAGAGAGAGGATGAGAGAGAGACATAGAGAGAAGGCAGAGAAATAAAGAGAGAGAGGGGATGGGAGAGAGAGACAGAGAGAAGGCAGAGAAAGACAGAGAGAGGGGATGGGAGAGAGAGACATAGAGAGAAGGCAGAGAAAGACAGAGAGACAGGATGGGAGAGAGAGACATAGAGAAGGCAGAGAAATAAAGAGAGAGAGAGGGGATGGGAAAGAGAGACATAGAGAGAAGGCAGAGAGAGAGAGGATGGGAGAGAAACAGAGAGAAGGCAGAGAAAGAGAAAGAGGGGATGGGAGAGAGGGACATAGAGAGAAGGCAGAGAGAGAAGATTGGAGAGAGAGAGTATGGGAAAGAGACATAGAGAGAAGGCAGAGAAAGACAAAGAGAGGATGAAAGAGACAGAAAAAGCAGAGAAAGAGAGACATAAAAAGAAGGCAGAGAAAGACAGAGAGAGAGGATGTAAGAGAGAGACTTAGAGAGAAAGCAGAGAGAGAAGGGCGAGAGATGTAGAGAGAAGGCAGAGAGAGACAGTAAGAGAGGATGGAAGAGACAGAGAAAAAGCAGAGAAAGAGAGAGACAAAGAGAGAAGGCACAGAAAGACAGAAAGAGAGGATGTAAGAGAGAGACATAGAGAGAAAGCAGAGAGAAGGGCGAGAGACATAGAGAGAAGGCAGAGAGAGAGAGAGAGATTGTATTAGAGAATGAACAGTTCTACTTCACGCCTCTTCATACTGACATTGTTGTTGATATTTTATTCTCTATTATTTGATTTCACCACCATGTTTATGTTTATGGTAATTTACCTTTCCAGGCTCCGCCCACAAACATATTCTTTAGCCAACTTGTTTTATCACAGATCTCGTCTGTGTGAAGATCTTTTACAGAGAACATCGCCATCGGCTTAAACTCCGCATTACCACGGCACGAAGTATCACTGTGCTGTAAACAGATTAATCTCTGACTCTCATGCTGCTCACACGGAGCACCGAGTGTACCGATGAAGTAAGAACCCGGTTCTGTTTAAACTGCGGAGCTGACAGCTTATTTTCTCATCTAAAACTAGACTGGTCAGGTCGCCAACAGGCTAAACAGCTCCATCATTAATATCACAGGCTTGAATTAAAGCACTTACAGTCTGATTAACTGTAAAACTGCAGTATAAAAGTCCCCTGAATGTCTTTCACACTTCAAATGTCCGTGTTTCAGTCAGAAGTCTCGTCAAACCCAAACAGCTCTTTACTCCCTAAATAGTGTTCTAGCTATGAAAGTTTAGAAATTCCAGCCTCTACAGTCAAACAGTGCATCATGTATCGAGTGTGGATGAGTCTGAGTCCCAAATGACTGTTTCTTAGCTGTATTTTGCTCTGTTGGGCTGCAGGATCCAGTATTTAAACTCCTACTAGTGCACTATGTAGGGAGCAGGGAGCCGTTTGAGATTCAGCCCCAGTGTGAGAAGAGGGCGCCACTGGATTGGTGCTAAATACGACTCGCGGTGGTGATTTGGAGACCAAAAAGTACTTCTAAAGCTTAAGTTTCTGCATTAAACAGTGCTGCGTTATCATATGTTCATTGTTATATGACAAAAAAGTAAGAACATTCATGAACTGACTAATACACAGCGATAGGCGACCGAACGTTCTCCTCGATCAGTAATCCATGGTTGCTTGGCAATGACACCGTACTCTAAAGGAACTACATTTCTTGGTGGAATACTTGTTTGTCAATGATTAATAATAAATTATTTTCTGAAAGAATTAGCATTTTCTCATATGTTGGCTGCTGTTTTATAAAAGCAATAAGCCACTCAAGGCTGTGTATTATAGCGATTTTATCACAGGGAAGCTGGCTTTAGTCCGCTTAGCGCCATGCCTAACAACACCCTTACCCGTGATAAAAATCACAGTAACACACGGGCTCCCGTGGATTATCGCTTTATTATATACTTCTGCCAGAAAAAGGGACGAAATTAAAAAAAAATTCTCCTTCCTGCCGCTCTGTGGGCGGAGCCTGGACAGAAGATCTGCTGAGGCAGTGACGTCTCTAAAATCCATGGAAATAAAGTGAACTACACAAAGACCAAACCCACCGTTTAAAAATATACATTTTATTAAAGATTTACTTTTGAACAACAATATGAACAACACGTACCGCCGGGTACCGGAAACGGAACAGAAACATCATAAGTCTCAGCTGTAGGCGCGGCTCTCCAGGTGAAGTTCAGTCGTCTACTGAACCACACGGTCGTCAGTGGAGAACTGGACTGAACCCATGAGCCAAAAACAGATCCACAGCACCGCAGAGCTTCAGACTAAACAAAAAAGAGCAGTAACCGGCTTGTAGAACCTTTACACTGAGGTTCTGCTGGGTTCTACACCAGGCTGATTAGCGCAGGGCCACCCAAATGCAGCTTTAGAAAAAAAAAAATCTGGATTCTGTGTTAAGTATTTGGAGTGTGATCTGGATTAATATCTGAATGAATATATAGTATCTGTATCTGGATTCATGTCTAGACATGAATCCCGATAGTGGTTTTATATCTGGATTCTGGATCTGGATTAATATTTGAATGAATATACAGCATCTGTATCTGGATTAATATGAATATATTAACGAATATGCATTAATGACCAGAGTGTGGGTCTAGAAAGAAATCTAGATACTGGATCTGGTATAGATATCCGGAGTCCAAAATGGTTTGCAGCTCCAGCCTAGAGGGACCTCGCCAATGACCTCAAAACATGGTTCTAGATAAACCAGAGTCTGAATGTGGATTAATATCTGGAGTGTGGACACTGAAAAAAAGTCTGGATCTGCATTAATGCATAGGCTGTGGATCTAGAAAAAAAAATCTGGATTGTGTTTTGTCAAGTATTTTAAGTGTGGATCTGGATTGCTATCTGAATTAATATACAATGTCTGGATCTGGATTAATATTTGCAGTCTGAATGTGTGTTAAGGACTGAATAACGGATCTAGAAAGCAATCTGAATACTGGATTGTTAAGCATATTAATCCTGGTGTTGATCTAGGTTATTGTCTAGAGTCTAAAAGTGGTTTACAATATCTGGATTCTGGATCTGGAGTGTAGATGGGGATGAACATCTGAAACATAACTAATATCTGGAGTCAGGATCTGGATAAATATCAGGAGCTTGAGTTGCTTTTTCTTCAAGTCTAAATAACAGTTTTGATTCCGATTTGGTTCACAAGCTCTTGCTAACAGGTCCGGTCTGCTTTCAGCACTCCAGAGCCCAGTCCAGAACAGTGAGAGAACTCTGCTGAGTCAGTGTGGACGTCTGTCTTTGGTTGGTCTTGTAACTGAGTGGTGTTTATGTGCAGTAATGTCCATTAAAGCCTCTCAGAGCTGCATTAGCCTCTCCAGCTGTAATCTGAGCCTGAACACTGCTGCTGCTGTCTGTCAAATGAGGCCCCGCCCACACAGAAATTTACTGTAAATCACGCCCCCTCAGACGCCAGCCAGTTGGTCCAGGTTGTCATGGGAACGGTTGGCAAGATGAGCCTGCAGGATCTCTCCGAACACACCCCGCTTCAGCAGACTGTAGGCCATCGGCAGCAACTGACCAATCACCTTATGGAAATACTGAAAAAAAACAAACAAACAAAAAAAAACTTGAATCACCTTACAGAAACACTGAAACTAAAAATAACACCAATCACCTTGTAGAAATACTGGGGGGAAATAAAAAAAAAGAAGAAGAAGACATCACTTAATAGGAATACTGAAATAATTACCCCCCCCCCAAAAGCTTCAGCACTCACCTTACAGAACTACCGAAACCCCCCAAAAAAATCGCCGGAGAGCACTCGCCTTACAGAAACTACTGAAACCCCCTAAAAACCTCAGCACTCGTCCTACAGAACTACCGAAACCCCCCTTTAAAACCACAGCACTCGCCTTACAGAACTACCGAAACCCCCCTTTAAAACCTCAGCACTCGCCTTACAGAAACTACCAAAACCCCCCTTTAAAACCTCAGCACTCGCCTTACAGAAACTACTGAAACCCCCTAAAAACCTCAGCACTCGTCCTACAGAACTACCGAAACCCCCCTTTAAAACCACAGCACTCGCCTTACAGAACTACCGAAACCCCCCTTTAAAACCTCAGCACTCGCCTTACAGAAACTACCAAAACCCCCCTTTAAAACCTCAGCACTCGCCTTACAGAAACTACCAAAACCCCCCAAAACCTCAGCACTCGCCTTACAGAAACTACCAAAACCCCCCAAAACCTCAGCACTCGCCTTACAGAACTACCGAAACCCCCCAAAACCTCAGCACTCGCCTTACAGAAACTACCAAAACCCCCCAAAACCTCAGCACTCGCCTTACAGAACTACCGAAACCCCCCTTTAAAACCTCAGCACTCGCCCTACAGAACTACCGAAACCCCCCTTTAAAACCTCAGCACTCGCCTTACAGAACTACCGAAACCCCCCTTTAAAACCTCAGCACTCGCCTTACAGAACTACCGAAACCCCCCAAAACCTCAGCACTCGCCTTACAGAACTAGCCAAACCCTTCAAAATCCACATATGATACAATATATGGGTCCATTATGGGTCCCTTATATTCCCAAAAGATAATTTAATAAACGCATAACACACCAGATTATTCAACAAAACCTCTTTCATTTCAAACAATTTTATATGGATGCACTAAAAACTCATTTCAGTTTCTTTTTGCCTTTAAAAGCCCAAAAATATCAGATGGTGCAACCATCAAACCATGAATGCTGATCAAGTAAACTATCAGAAAAGGTTAATTTATCCAGATAAAGCGTTTAAAGGGCCGACTGCCTCACATGCGATCCGTAGCAGAACAGGTCGACGCCGAGCTCGTAGCCCATTCCGTAATCACACTCATCGTTAGCGAACTGCACGAACGTCATCATCTCCTGAATCGGGGCGAAAGCCTTCATCCTGGAATCGTCATCCTCAGCTTCAGCGATCGCTCTGCAGATCTTCTTCAGATCAGCTGCACAGAAAGGAGGTGAAACACTGAAACACAGGCAGGAAAACACTGAACTTTCAGTTCCACCTTAAAAGCTGCAGCAGTTCTGGCACCAGAAAGTAACTGCTGCTCCATTTAAGGTGGAACTGAGGCGAGTCAGTGATTTATACATGCATTTGATACCGTGCTAATCGGTGGGGTATAAGCTTGCGTTAGCCTCGTGGCTAAGTACATTTGGGGACGGGGTGGTGGGGGTTGGGTGGGGATGGGACTGGGTATTTGGCTTTAACCGTCGCTGTAAATACAAACAAGTACCGTCGCTCTCAGGCAGTTCCCGGTATCCCACGTCGTTTTTGTCCACCGGCACTACGATGCCCGCTCCGTGGAACGTTTTAGTGACCACCTGAAAAAAAAAAATTTCTCTGTGTTACTTCAACAATCATACAGCCTAAACATGAAGAACGTAAACAAACTTCAAACAGCAACATGCAACTCTTTTACACTCTGTACTCGTTTAGCTTTTTTGCTTGGGAAACAATCACCACTATAAGACGGCACCTAACTGTGGAAGTGGGAGGAGCATGTGGACTCAATAGGGTGGGCTTATATACACATCTACATACTTATGAATTCGTACATATGAAACACAGAAACAACAACAACAACAACAACAACAACAACTCTCCACGTGTCATTTCACCGTTTTAATAACCGCTTTGTATTATTTGTACTGTAGTTCTAAAAACTGGTTACAAAACCTATGTAAACACGTCCAGCTCTGGTCAGAAGCTCAGACTCTGACCAGTTAGAAACGTCTCGAGGCGTTTTTCTATTTATTGAACTCTAGAGGTGCATTTCTCTGACTTCACAACAAACTGGAAACTGGAAAAAGGAGCTAATGACCGAGTCAGTGAGCGAGTCAGACATGCTGGCTGCGTTTTCTTTACTTCAGTAAAGGAGCTGACAACTAAGTCAGTGTCCGAGTCAGACCAGCTGGCTGTGTTTTACGTCAGTAAAGGAGCTAATGACCGAGTCAGTCACCAAGTCAGACATGCTGGCTATGTTTTACTTCAGTAAAAGAGGTAGCGATCGAGTCAGTGTCAGACATTCTGGTTGCGTTTTCTTTACTTCAGTGAAGGAGCTTATGACCGAGTCACACACGCTGACTGTGTTTTACTTCAGTAAAGGAGCTAATGACTGAGTCAGTGACCGAGTCAGTCATGCTGGATATGTTTTCTTTACTTCAGTAAAGAAGCTTATAACCAAGTCAGTGTCAGAGTCAGACATGCTGGCTATATTTTACTTCAGTAAAAGAGGTAGCGATCGAGCCAGTGTCAGACATGCTGGTTGCATGCTTAGTTGTCAGCTCCTTTACTTCAGTGAAGGAGCTTATGACTGATTCAGTGTCCGAGTCAGACACGCTGGCTGTGTTTTACTTCAGCAAAGGAGCTAATGACTGAGTCAGTGTCCGAGTCAGTAACACTGGCTGTGTTTCCTTTACTTCAGTTAGCTAATGACGGAGTCAGTGACCAAGTCAGACACGCTGGCTGTGTTTTACTTCAGTAAAAGAGCTAATGACCGAGTCAGTGGCTGAGAACGAGTCAGCTGATGACCTGCTGCGCTCCTCCAGTCACCGAGTGCTGGGGGTTTACTGAGTTAACAGCTCAGCAGGAATCATTTCACAAAGAGACCCTCTCAGTCAGTCAGATAACTGCAGCCCAGCGTCCAGCAGGTCCAGCAGGACGAGAGCTCGGACACATTCACACGGGAGGACCCCACTTCAGGCTGGAGTTACCAGGCTAACTGACCATCCCTCAGCTCCACTGTGTGATCTCGGGAGCAGAGGATTGTGGGAGTTTGTGTTTATCCGGCCGACTGTAACTGTGCTGAGTGTGTCAGTGATGAATGACGGTCAAATACATAATTCAGTCAGGAAAATCAATAATTCATCAAACTGTATGCAAAAGAAACGTCAGCGGACGCCGAGTTACTGCAGCAAGACATCTGCTCCTATTCACTTACCCAGGGATGCCAGATTGGGCAGAATCCCTCAGAACAGCATTTCATATCACATACTGTGACAAAAATGGTTTATCAGTGACGGTTTTCTATTAAAACTGCAACACTTAGAGTTTCATTAAGAGAAGAAAATTATAATAATAATAATAATAATAATAATAATAATAACAACAACAACACCACTTTGTTATTAATGTTATTGATTAATTGAACAATAAATACAAACAAGATTTTAAATATTTAAATGCTTTTCCATTTAATCGCTAGGCTGAAACATATATGGGCTTTCCTTATTCTTATAGACTTACACTTTATTCTTTATTTTTTTGTTATTAAACTAACTTTAATAACACTTAAGCTCCTTGTTTTTAGTTTATGTTTTTATTTTGCTTTTACGTGCTTTGTACTTCCTTTAAACTCTATTGCACTTTGTATCATTTTACCACTCTGTTTATTTTCCCTTCTGCTGGTCTTTGACTGAAGCTCACTGAACAGCCTCAGCGTAATAAATGTGCTGCATTAATAAACTTATCTCGAATATTAGGAAGCATAAACGTCGTGCAGTCTCAGCCCTGATGGTGATGATATGGATATGATTGCCGTATTGATCACTCTGAGTACCTTCCTGTCTCTCTGCTTCATGGCTTTGGTTTTCTGCTCCAGCGGCAGCCCCAGACGCTCCGCCTCCTTCTTTAGCTCCGCCTCCAATCGCTCCACGGCGGCATCATCTCTCTGTCCGCCACGCTCTCGCTTCTTACGGGCTAGAAATAACCTGAGAGAGAGAGAGAGAGAGAGAGAGAGAGAGAGAGAGAGAGAGAGAGGAAGACTGTAATACACTACAGGAAGTGTAGGGGGCGATATGGCTTCTACTGTTTCATTTAAAAAGCTCTATAATGTTCATATGATCCACACAGTCACTCTGACAGACTGTAATACACTACAGGAAGTGTAGGGGGCGATATGGCTCCTACTGTTTCATTTAAAAAGCTCTATAATGTTCATATGATCCACACAGTCACTCTGACAGACTGTAATACACTACAGGAAGTGTAGGGGGCGACAGATGGATTGATTATTGAAATAAAGGCTGATGGTGAGGGTCCTACAGCACGGCGCTGAAGAGGTTGTCCCCGAGCTGGGCGATGGTGCAGCCTTTTCTGGCTTCGTTCTCTCCAACAAACACCGGCAGAGCGTCAGGACAGTCTCTACACAAACACAGAGATCAATAACGATCAATAACAATCACATTAACGCACTGACTATCAGCTCATTTGTAGAACTCATAATGGACGCTGCTCTAAACTCTCAGAGCGCACTTCACTGCAGCCGATTAGCTGCCATTAGCGTTACTGCTAACATCAGCACTCTGCAGCAGTGTAGCATTACTGCCTGACAGACGAGCCACTTACAGGCTCCGTCCATAGATAGTCATACCTAGATGCTGCGTTGTCTGTTGTTCTCTGAGGTGATACGTCTGCACGTCCGCCATGTTGGAGAGGTCAAGATCCGCTTGTGAACAAACTCACTTGTATTGAGAGACGAAGAGTCTCAGGATTAAATCAGCCACAACTTCCTTATTACTCAACCGATTTTCACCAAATCTGTTCTGTTATAATCCTCAGACACAGATTAATCCAGGCTGCTCGGATCTGCTCTCGGTAGCTTTTATTACTCTAACAACTGATCGTGATAATTAGGACCAGCAGGAAAGTATTCAGTCTGTACCTGAGATTAAAAACTGAGTTTAGCGTGAGAAACACAATCGGACACATCAGCAAATCCATCGATGAGTGAATCACTTCTCATCTTAATACACATAAAAATAAAATAAACCCCCAAAACACAGAAGGATGAAGCTGAAGTGGCTTCTTAAACGCCAGCTTCTTGTTCGAGTTTTCCCATTCCACCTTAAATGGTGCAGCTTCAGGCAGTGGAATGGGAACATTCGCACAAAAAGCTGGCAAATAAAAAGCTGACTTCATGTTCATGTAAGAAGCTGCTAACATGAATCTATTTTGAATATCTACACAAATTAAAGAATGATATACCTTACTGAGCTACAAAGCTTCAACCATCACTGTAAATAAATAACTACTGCATAACGTTAAGATCCCCTGAATAGACTATTAAATGAAATAAGCTTAATATAAAACCAGAGGAAAAACAATCACATCAACAGGTTCTCTGTGCCTCACCAACCACACGGCCACATCTACACAAACACCACACAAACAATACACATCACACAGACATGAGTGTGGATCACTGCGTTCCCTCCGTTATATAATCCTGTCCCACTTTCTGAGTGTAATATTCCTGAAATAGTGTAATTTTGGACAGTATCTTTCTTAAACTGCTGCTCTGTAATGATACTGAAAGCAGTCCAGCAGCGATGTTGACCTCCCCAAAATGGCGGCGCCGTTGACGTGCCTGGCTGGACCCAACACAGCATCTAGATATGTATATCTTTGGCTCCGTCGGTCACGCTGATCCTGAACGGACCACCAGCACCCACCGATTAGCTTAATGTCACTTTCATAATGCTAACTGTGCTCTGTTCACTTTCATTTACTGTTAGCAACGTCAGCTTTGCTAACTGAACCAATTCTTTAATGAAGCTCTCTTTGCTCACTACTGCTGGCGTTGATTGAAATGCTAATGTTGCTAACAATGAATGAAAGCCGACACTGGTAACGCTAATGTCCTCTACTCACTCACGGCTAGCAACGTTAGCTTTATTCACTGAATCATATCTCTAATAAAAAAGTCTCCATTTTATTTACTGATTAGTCTAACAACTTTACATTCATTCAATCAGTAATGCTAATGTTGCTAAAGCTGTCTATTCCCTTACGTTTATAACCATCAGAAGCTTTATTACTAATATAACGTTTCTAATAAAGCTCCCCTTTTCAGTAAGTAACCAGTCTCTTATGTTTTCATTTTATTAATTAGCTTAATAACAGCATTCAATCAGTAATGCTAATGTTGCTAACGCTGCCTATTCTTTTCACTCATAATCATAGATTCTTTAAAGATCTCTATTAAATCAATTAAACAACATTATCTACATTAACAACATTCGATCCATGTTAATATTGATTATGCTATCTATTGTCTTTCATGTATAATTATCAACATTTAGCTTTACATTAACATTAGCATCATTCAGTCAGTTATGCTAATGTTCTTGAAAGCGAGTGTTGTGATTGGCTCAGTTCAGATGTACTAAGGCTGATTCCCCCTAATTTCTGCTGTTCCAGTGGGGGAGGAGAGGAGCAGAAGCTAAGGTTTCTTCTTTCAGCATCAGAGCGCGACCCCCCTCACCGGACCCTGAGATGTGGGCACTGTGCTGCCCTCTGCTGGGTGGACTGAGGTACCTGTAGTAGCCCATGTGGTGCTGCGTGTCTGCGCTGCCCTGCAGGACGGTCTGCAGCTCCGGAGGGTCGTAGAAGTGTCTCCAGTGCAGGTGGAAGTTCGGCCGGGAGGACTCGTGGCGCTTGTGCTTCTCAGACAGGATGTCGAACGGACCCACCAGCCGCAGACCCAGAACGTCCTGGAGAGCGTCTGCCAGCACGGAGAGACACAATCACCATCAACACCACCACCGTCAACACCATGGAGAAACACCATCAACACCACCATTTCCACCACCGCAGAGAGACACCATCAACGCCACCATCAACGCCATGGAGGGACATCATCAATATCTCACCATCAACACCACAGAGACACCAACACCACACTATCAACACCACAGAGAGACACCATCAACACCGCAGAGACATCAATATCTCACCATCACCACCACAGAGACATCAATATCTCACCATGACCACCACAGAGAGACACTATCAACACCACAGAGATACACCATCAATATCTCACTATCAAAACCACAGAGACACCAAACACCACACCAACACCACAGACACCACCTAACACCACAGAGACACCATCAACACCACAGACACCACACTATCAACACCACAGAGACACCATTAACACCACAGAGAGACACCATCAATATCTCACCATCCAAACCACAGAGACATTATCAACACCACAAAGGACACCAACACCACAAGTGAACTATCGCTTTAACCCCATGCTTATATGCTGTTAAAGGACAGTCCAATCAAAACCACAGCACTATTACTTTAATCCCCTTAAAGGGCCAGTGCTGCGGTGTTGTATTTAGTATCGCTTTAATCCCCTTAAAGGGCCGGTGCTGTATGAAGTATCGCTTTAATCCCCTTAAAGGGCCGGCGCTGCGGTGTTGTATTTAGTATCGCTTTAAACCCCTTAAAGGGCTGGCGCTGCGGTGCTGTACGAAGTATCGCTTTAACCCCCTTAAAGGGCCGGTGCTGTATGAAGTATCGCTTTAAACCCCTTAAAGAGCCGGCGCTGCGGTGCTGTATGAAGTATCGCTTTAATCCCCTTAAAGGGCCGGTGCTGTATGAAGTATCGCTTTAAACCGCTTAAAGGGCCGGTGCTGTACGAAGTATCGCTTTAACCCCCTTAAAGGGCCGGCGCTGCGGTGTCTGCTCACCTTGCGGATGATCTGGACTGAGCTGAGTGCAGAAATCCCAGAACTGGTAGAAATCTTGAGGCATGCGGAGCTTATACAGTCTCTCCACTTCCTCCCTCAGATGCAGGGGGACGCTTGACCCCGCCCCCGCCTTAGACACCGCCCCCTCAACATGAGCTCGCTTCACCTGCCCGTTCACCTGCCCCACCTGGAACATCAGCACGCAGAGAACAGTACAGAAACACCTCCAGAACTTTCTACCAGCCACAATATAAACAAACATACATACATATAATATAAGCAGCCACTTCATTAGGTCCACCTCCTCGTTTCTACACTCACTGTCCATGTCATCAGCTGCACTGACCATATAGTCTCACTCTGTAGTTCTACAGTTACAGACTGTAGTCCATCTGTTTCTCTGCATACTTTGTTTGCCCCCTTTTACCCTGTTCTTCAGTGGTCAGGACCCCCACGGACCCTCACAGAGCAGGTACTATTTGGGTGGTGGATCATTCTCAGCACTGCAGTAACACTGACGTGATGGTGGTGTGTTAGTGTGTGTTGCGCTGGTCTGAGTGGATCAGACACAGCAGTGCTGCTGGAGTTTTTAAACACCTCAGTGTCACTGCTGGACTGAGAATAGTCCACCAACCAAAAATATCCAGCCAGCAGCGTCCTGTGGGCAGCGTCCTGTGACCACTGATGAAGGACTAGAGGATGACCAACACAGACTGTGCAGCAGCAGATGAGCTATCGTCTCTGACTTTACATCTACAAGGTGGACCGACAAGGTAGGAGTGTCTAATAGAGTGGACAGTGAGTGGACACAGTGTTTAAAAACTCCAGCAGCACTGCTGTGTCTGATCCACTCAGACCAGCGCAACGCACACTAACACACCACCATCACGTCAGTGTTACTGCAGTACTGAGAATGACCCACCACCCGAATAGTACCTGCTCTGTGAGGGTCCATGGGGGTCCTGACCACTGAAGAAGGGTGCAGAGAAACAGATGGACTACAGTCTGTAACTGTAGAACTACAAAGTGCACCTAAATAGTAAGTGGAGCTGATAAAATGGACAATGAGTGTAGAAACAAGGAGGTGGTCATAATGTTATGCCTAATAAGTGTGTGTGTGTATATATATATATATATATATATATATATATATATATATATATATATATATATATACACACACACACACACACACACACATATATATATATATAGCTCAGAAGTTGAGTTGTGATGAATGAAGGTGTTTCTAAAAGATTAATAATATGATATTAAGATAACAATAACAGTGATATTTAATATAACCGTTGATTCTCCACTGAAGTCGTTAGAAATCCAGTGAAAACTGCTCAAACTATCGCTGTTCACTATGAACACACGCACACAAGTCAACAGTAGAGCACCAGGACTTCAGGATCAGGGCTGTTTTCGTTATTATTATTAAGCAGAAATCGGCTTCTGGTTCGAATTTCCCGGTCCACCTTAAACAGAGCGCCACCACAGTCAGGCGCCTGAGCCGTTACAGTCACTGTCGCACTGTTTAAGGTGGAACGGAAAATTCGAACGAGAAGTCGTTTTCTGCTAAACAGTAAACGACGTTCCGGTAATGTTTAGCTCTGCGGTTCAGCTGAAGCGTATTTATCTATCAAACTACTTTATAAAGGTGTTTATTTCGCTCTACCTGCGGCGCAGACTTCTGCTTTCTTTTCCCGCCACCCGCCATTTTCTCCTTCTTCAGCACTGCCGGCCAGAACGTCAATACGTAGCCGCGCGTCTCCCTGCGTCATGACGCAAACCACGCCCTCTGAGCGGTAAATGCGCTTCCCTCGATAAAAGTCCCTGAAAAAACAACTTCGAATATACTTTAAAAATTATATATAATATAAAGCGATGATAAAATAGTTAAATACATTCAAAAATATCGCAGCACAGCGTTACAAACGTATAGAAAATATTTTATTAAATTAAATTAAACATTGACGCTAATAAGAGTATCTGAGCTAGTTAGGATAACAATCCAGGTAAATCTTTAAAATACATTTATTGATTAAATACATTATTAATTAAATGATCAGTTTTATTTTTAAACTGATCCATTAAAATGTAGACAACACCGATCTCCACAACACAGATTAAAACTGTTTTATTCTTCTGTTTCATGAAAAGATAAGTCCTCGTCGTTATTAGCATCGTCATCATCATCATCATCATCATCATCATCATCATCACCTTCATCGTTTCTTCACAGTGCCTAGTGACCGACTTCAGGCAGAATTTAGAATTTAAGACTGATTAAATATCTAAAGCGATTATTTATGAAGTGCAGTTCTCAGAAATTACCACACGATGGCGGTGTTGAAGCAGAATCTGCTGATTTGGACCACAAAGCATGACTTCACAGCAGCGTTTATAGCTCCAGCACTGCAGCTCACAGAATTACAGGTTATGATTAGAGTTAGGGATTAAGGATTAGGATTAGAGTTAGGGGTTAAGGTTTAGGATTAGATTTAGGAGTCAGGATTAGAGTTAGGGGTTAAGGTTTAGGATTAGAGTTAGGGGTTAAGGTTTAGGATTAGATTTAAGAGTCAGGATTAGAGTTTGGGGTTAAAGTTTAGGATTAGATTTATTGGTTAAGGTTTAGGGTTAGAGTTAGGAGTCAGGATTAGAGTTAGGGTTAAGGTTTAGAGTTAGGGGTTAAGGTTTAGTATTAGATTTAGGAGTCAGGATTAGAGTTAGGGGTTAAGGTTTAGGATTAGATTTAGGAGTCAGGATTAGAGTTAGGGGTTAAGGTTTAGGATTAGAGTTCGGAGTCAGGATTAGAGTTAGGGGTTAAGGTTTAGAGTTTTGAATTAGTATTAGAGGATATGAGTTTAGAGAATAGATTTAAGGGTTAAGGGTCAGGATTAGAGTTGGGTTAAGTATTAGGAGTACAAAATTCAGAATAAGATTAATGTTAAGGTTTACTGTTTAGGATTAGAGTTAGGGATTAAGGTTTAAGATTAGAGTTAGGAATTAAGATTTAAGATTAGAGTTAGGGATTAAGGTTTAAGGATTGGGATTAGAGTTAGGGATCAAGGTTTAAGGATTGGGATTAGAGTTAGGGGTTAAGGTTTAAGGGCTAGACGTAGGGAGGATTAGAGATAGAGTTAGGGTTTAGGATTAAGAACTAGGATTAATGTTAAAGTTTATCAGTTAGATTTAGGGGTCAGGATTAAGGAATTAGGACTAGGATTAGGCACCTACCCCCGGCACCATGGGTAGGGTTGCCCACCGCCCCGGGCAAGTGTGCTCACTGCCCCCTAGTGTGTGTGTTCACTAGTGTGTATGTGGTGTTTCACTGCACGGATGGGTCAAAATGCGGAGGTGAATTTTCCCCGTTGTGGGACTAATAAGGGTCACTTAATCGCTTAATATAAAGGCAAAATAACCCAAGACTTACATTTGTGTGTGTAAATTGTGGACCACCACCCGGACAGGCCCGCTCCTCGTCCCAGGGGTCGCCCGTGGAGGGTATCCCCCAGTTTGCGCCCAGGTTGTCGACATGGGAGTGCTCCTTCGGTTCAGCGCCACGGCAGCTCTGGGCGTACTTCCCGTCAAACCTCTGGTCGTGTGGGATGCAGTCGTTCTGGTCTGCCTCGATCCTCGGCCATCCTGGACTCTCTCGGGGGGAGTAATTGCGAGGTCTTGCTTCTCTCTGTAGAGAACCTGGGCGTAGAGCTACTAAGCGTTTTTGCCTCCTGTGTTTCTCAACTGTGTTTCAGGACTTTTGACTTTGCCTTCTTGTCTCTGCCCTTTCAAATCTGGTTGCCTGATCTGGCTTGTTTTGTTTGTCTTTTCCTGAATTCTGGTCTTTTTGGATTTGACCCCTGTCTGTCCTCTCATTACGAATACCATCAAGTTTTTACCGCGAGCCTCTGGCTGGTTCTGCTCCGTTATAACTGGACTGGGTGTTTCAGCTTGTTTGTCCAGATGGAGCTGTTCAGAGTTTGTTATTGAGGAAAATAATTTGTGTGCTTTAACATTTAAAGACGACCATCTGAACTCACTTTTATAACGTGTTGGTGGGACAGTAACACGTCAGACGATCTCTATGTCCATTTGTTCTTGTCTGCTTTGGTCTGTTCAGCATATTTTCTAAAGCTGTGAACTGCCTCTGCACATGAATCCACTCTGACCTCAGAGAGTCTACAGTCTTACACAGCTTAAGGTTTAGGAGGTTAATCTCAGACTTCCTGCTCTCACAGCTCAGAAGTGAGCGTGTGAAGTTTAAGACCTGCTTTCTCTTTAAACCCAAAACTCAGAGCGGCTCTATAGACGCTGCAGGCTCAGTGAGGTGGGCGGGGCTTACAGAGGAGGAGGGCAAGGAGGAGGAGCTTCAGGGCTGGAGCTGAGACTCCACACAGAAGCTCTCAGACTGTGAGAGTGACGCTGTCTGAGCTGGTTGAGGATGTTGTTCAGGGCGGTGTGGAGGGGTCTGCGGACCGCGGGATGGAGAACACCTTTACCTACACCAGGTAAAACCTTCAGATTAGTTTATACTTTACCTGCACCTGGTAAAACCTTCAGATTAGTTCTTACTTTACCTGCACCAGATAAAACCTCGAGATTAGTTCATACTTTACCTGCACCAGGTAAGACCTTCAGATTAGATCATACTTTACCTGCACCAGGTAAAACCTTTGGATTAGTTCATACTTTACCTGCACCAGGTAAGACCTTCAGATTAGTTTATACTTTACCTGCACCAGGTAACATCTACAGGTAGGACTCAACACAGTGCACTGAGTATGCAGTTTTTATTACAATCCAAATTGCTTTCATAGCCAGTGTGAGTCAGAATAATGTGCTGTTCTTCTAATTGTTATTATTATTATTATTATACTAATTATTTCATGATTATTATTATGAGTTTTCATTTATATAAAAATTTGAAAGGAAAAGAACCTCAAAGTGCTTTAAAACAGTAACATTAGCAAAAACACAGCAAACATAAAGTTTACATGAAGAGGTAAAATGAATTCAACAAAACTTTGTTTGTTTGTTTTTCAAAATAAATCAAAATCTCCAGCTGAAAAAAATAAAAATGACCTCACTTTACCTTTTTGGTCATTAAGTGCTTCGACTCTGAGGCACGTCTTGCTGGGACTTTTTACTTCTTTTTTAATTATTTGTTTTTTTCTGAAGTATTAGTTGCTTTGCATGTCACGTTAACATATGGACAGTAAGTTACTCATAAACATGCTATGAACAGCATATGAACGGCTATATTTTCAACTTCTTGTTTGTTGTTCTGTATTTTGCCCTTTGTTGTTTTTCCCTTTTTACTCTGCGTCCTCTTTAAAACGTTACTGTGCTCATTCACTGTTGAGGAAAACATTATTCACCCTCAGTTTGAGGGTTTACTTTATTTTTAGTGATGTTCGTCCTCGTTTATGGTCCTGGAGAAGACGCGAGTGTAACTGTGCACTGATGATCCTGTTTGATTGACGGTCTTTGAGGTTGGATGTTGCTCTGTTTTCCTGAAGAGTGAATGAACTCTGTTCTGTCTCACCTCTAAAGTGACGGACGTTAACCAGACTGAACTGCGTTATGTGGATCTTTAAATCGCAGTGCAGAGTATCTGCTTACACTCCTGTGTCTGTCCAGCACCTACAGGGAGTGGACGAGTATTATGGGCTGTTAAACTCCTTCAGGCAGTGAGTCTCACCACCTTATACAGGCTGTTACTGAATATAATATAACAAAGATCATCAACAAGGCCAGAGAGTCCACACTTTAGACCAGTGAGACACACTGTTTATACCTGTCTGTCTGCCTGTCTATTAATCTGTGTATCTGTCTGTCTATTAATCTGTCTGTCTGTCTGTCTATTGAGAGTCCACACTTTAGACCAGTGAGACACACTGTTTATACCTGTCTGTCTGCCTGTCTATTGAGAGTCCACACTTTAGACCAGTGAGACACACTGTTTATACCTGTCTGTCTGTCTATTCATTTATCTGTCTGTCTATCTGTCTATTAATCTGTCTGTCTGTCTATTGAGAGTCCAAACTTTAGACCAGTGAGACACACTGTTTATACCTGTCTGTCTGCCTGTCTGTTGATCTGTCTATTAACCTGTCTATGCATCTGTCTGCCTGTCTGTCTGTTGATTTGCCTATTAATGTGTCTATGTATCTGTCTGTCTATTAATCTGTCTGTCTGTCTGTCTGTTGATCTGTCTTTTAATCTGTCTATGTATCTGTCTGTCTGTCAGTCTATTGATCTATCTGTCTATTGATCTGTCTGTCTGTCTGTCTGTTGATCTGTCTTTTAATCTGTCTATGTATCTGTCTGTCTGTCAGTCTATTGATCTATCTGTCTATTGATCTGTCTGTCTGTCTTCTATTGATCTGTCTGTCTGTCTATTGATCTACCTGTCAGTCTGTCTATTGATCTACCTGTCTGTCTATTGATCTGTCTGTCTGTCTGTCTATTGATCTGTCTGTCTGTCTGTCTATTGATCTGTCTGTCTATTGATCTGCCTATCTGTCTATTGATCTGTCTGTCTATTGATCTGCCTATCTGTCTATTGATCTGTCTGTCTGTCTGTCTGTCTGTCTGTCTGTCTATTGATCTGTCTGTCTGTTGCTCTATCTGTCTGTCTGTTGAGTCCCACCATCATACTAAGACTGAGTGGAATGATTGTTCACAGCATGTTTCTGAGTGATTTACTGTCCACATAGTAAAGTGACAGCAAAGCAGCAAAACTTGAGAAAAAAACAAACAATTAAAAAGAAGCTGCAAGTTTATGTAAAATGTACCTGACTGTCAAAGCACTGAATGACCACAGAGGTAAAGCGAGGTCATTTTTATTTCGTCTGTCGAGAAATGAGGCGTTTTACAAAAAATAATGTAACTTTTCAAAATTAAAATGCAGACTTTTACAAAAACTCGGTGTTATAATAAGCAGTTGAAATGTCGGTGATTCTGCTTCACTGTTTGCTGCTTTCAAGCCACACACGGTCTGTCCGATCCCCTCGAGGCTTGTTCAGTTTACACTTTAATTTCCTGCTGCCCTGATTTGCTCGCAGATCTCGCTGCAGGACGTTCCTCGGCCTCGCACTGGCACGAACGCTGACTCTGTGCTTTTCCGCATGACTGAGCTGATGCATTCACACACTGATCTGATTGGAACTGATTTAGGATCACATTCCGCCACCCAAACGCTAATTTTGGCCTTCACGAACCTGCAGAACCGGCCTGAGATCAGCACAAACAAGCACGACTGAACTGAACCAAGGGACAGTCAGTTTAAACGCTGCTCGTCCTGATAACACTTACATAACCGCGCGAGAGGAATGCGCTCTGTGTGGACAGACGCTTATTCTGTTATTTTGGCTCCGGAACGATGGATTGCATTGTTGGACGCTGTGTTGCCATGGTCACCATTGGGTCCACCTTGACCACTCTTGCCGCGGATCTAAAGGGGATCATGGCTGGAAATAAAGAGAAGCTTCTCTACTGGCGCTGCCTCAACTTACCCAGCACCACAAACAGAGTCTCACAGCTCTAAACAGAGACTCACTGTCGTATATACTGATCAGCCACTTTATTAAGCCCACCTCCTTGTTTCTACACTCACTGTCCATCTTATCAGCTCCACTGACCACATAGTCTCACTCTGTAGTTCTACAGTTACAGACTGTAGTCCATCTGTTTCTCTGCATACTTTGTTACCCTGTTCTTCAGTGGTCAGGACCCCCACAGGACCCCCACATAGCAGGTACCATTTGGGTGGTGGGTCATTCTCAGCACTGCAGTGACTTCTACAAGGTGGACGGACATGGTAGGAGTGTCTAATAGAGTGGACAGTGAGTGGACACAGTGTTTAGAAACTTCAGCAGAACCGCTGTGTCTGATCCACTCAGACCAGCACAACACACACTAACGCACCACCACCACGTCAGTGTTACTGCAGTGCTGAGAATGATCCACCACCCAAATAGAACCTGCTCTGTGAGGGTCCCTGGGGGTCCTGACCACTGAAGAACAGGATGCAGAGAAACAGATGGACTACAGTCTGTAACTGTAGAACTACAGAGTGAGGCTATATGGACAGTGGAGCTGATAAAGTGGACAGTGAGTGTAGAAACAAGGAGGTGGACTTAATGAAGTGTCCAGTCAGTGTTGTCTTTGAAACTGAAGCTTTGCAGTACAGTGCTTGTGATAACCCACTCTGAGCTGATTCCTGTTTCATGTTTGCTCAGGTGTGCTGTGTACCTGAGTGCATAGAGTCTGAAATATGATAGTGGTTGAGGAGGTTAGAGATGGTGGGAGACAGAGAGAATCATAGGGAGATATGGGAGGGAGCGAGGGAGGAATAGAGTGAGAGAGGGTGGGGAAGCAGTGCTGCTGTACACTCTGTTCTTTTTACAGACACAAACAGTGTTATGGAAACTTTAGCAAAAGAGAGGAGTGGGGTTATTTATTCTGCCAGGGTTTTATAAAAGCAGTGGTGGAAAATAATGGTGTATGAAGGATGCACTCGATGATAACTCCAGTGTTGTGAACAGACTAGCTGTCTATTTGGACTCAAGAGCCCTAAAATCTAAAGACCTAGACCATAACCTTGGAGTACAAACGGACTCTGATCTCAGTTCATCAGTCGTGTCAAAGCAGTTACTAAATCAGCTTTTTATCACCTTAAGAACGTCAACAAGATCAGAGATGTTCAGACTAAAGCAGACCTGCAGAAACTCATCCACACCTTTATTTCCAGCAGGATTGATCACTGTAATGGTCGCCTAACTGGACCTCCAAAAAAGACCATCAAACGGGTTCAGCTGATTCAGAATGCAGCTGCCAGAGTCTCATTAGGAGTAAAAGAAGGACCCCCCCCCACCATTCTTAAACCCTACACTGGCTCCCAGTCTGTTCCAGAATAGACTGTAAGGAGCTGTTACTGCTCTATAAATGTCTTAATGGTGCAGGAGCAGCGTGTTTATCTGATCTGCTGCAGCGATATGAGCCGAGCAGAACTCTCAGATCATTAGGAACTGGTCAGTCAGTCCAGCTGAAGGTGAAGACTAAACATGGAGAAGCAGTGTTTGGCTGCTACGCTGCTCTTAAATGGACCCAGTGGACAGAGAGCATTAGAAGAGCCCCGACACTGGACACTTTAAATCAGCCTGAAAGCGATCCTATTTGAATTTTAGTTCGATTTTTAATTTATGATTAATTTCTTCTCTTTTAAATCTGTTGTTTTAATCCTGTTTTTAATTTCTATTCTACATCTTTTTAATTTTAATTTGAATTATCTTTGTATTTTCTCACTTGTAAAGCACTTTGAATGAACATTGTATGAAAGGTGCTCTATAAATAAGCTTGCCTTGCCTTCGTTCCTGCACAAGGCTTTTGTTTATATTACTTATTCATACTGAAGCTGCACAGGTTGTTATTTGTTATCCAGATGTTTGGTATTTTTACCATATTTCTGTGTGTTTATATGCAGTACTGGAGTTCTGTACTTTGTCCATCACTGCCTATAACGGACACAAGTGTGAAGAAGGGCTGATTAACAAACACAGGAGCAGGCAGGTACTCAGAAGAGATTACATGAGATGTGTACCAAACACAGGAAGAGGAAATGACAGACTGATGTTTGTCCAAACAGAGCCGGACACATGTCTGTCCAGCGTGGAACACAAACACACGCGCTCCACCAATCAGAACGCACAGTTCTCCACCGGCTCTGATCTCATGCTTAGCCAGAAAGGAAAACAAAGGCCAGCGTGAGAAGGACAAGAGAGAATTCCCCCTTACTAGCAGTGGTTATAGTCTAAAAATGCAGTGTTGCAATGGAAAGCTGCAGAGTTACAGTATGAAGCTAGCAGCTCACAATAGAGTTCCTCTTCAATACACATGAAAAATATATTACATTCTGTAGCTACAATGACAGCTCTGAAGTGAAAGTATTACATTTTGAAGCTACAGCCTTACAGCTTGAAGATGCAGTGTTACAGTCTGAATAGTGTTACAGTCTGAAGAGGCAGTGTTACAGTCTGAATAGTGTTACAGTCTGAAGATGCAGTGTTACAGTCTGAATAGTGTTACAGTCTGAAGAGGCAGTGCTACAGTCTGAAGAGGCAGTGTTAGCGTCTGAAGAGGCAGTAAAACAGTCTGAAGAGGCAGTGCTACAGTCTGAAGCTGCAGTGTTACAGTCTGAAGAGGCAGTAAAACAGTCTGAAGAGGCAGTGTTACCGTCTGAAGAGGCAGTAAAACAGTCTGAAGAGGCAGTGTTACCATCTGAAGAGGCAGTAGAACAGTCTGAAGAGGCAGTAAAACAGTCTGAAGCTGCAGTGTTACAGTCTGAAGCTGCAGTGTTACAGTCTGAAGAGGCAGTAAAACAGTCTGAAGAGGCAGTGTTACCGTCTGAAGAGGCAGTAAAACAGTCTGAAGCTGCAGTGTTACAGTCTGAAGCTGCAGTGTTACAGTCTGAAGTGACAGTGTTACAGTCTGAAGTGACAGTGTTACAGTCTGAAGCTGCAGTGTTGCAGTCTAAAGCAGCAGTGTTACAGTCTGAAGCTGCAGTGTTATAGTCTGAAGCTGCAGAGTTACAGTCTGAAGTGACAGTGTTACAGTCTAAAGTAGCAGTGTTACAGTCTGAAGCTGCAGTGTTATAGTCCAAAGTTGCAGTTACAGTCTGAAGTGGCAGTGTTACAGTCTGAAGTGACACTGTTACAGTCTAAAGTAGCAGTGTTACAGTCTGAAGCTGCAGTGTTATAGTCCGAAGTTGCAGTTACAGTCTGAAGTGGCAGTGTTACAGTCTGAAATGACAGTGTTACAGTCTAAAGCAGCAGTGTTACAGTCTGAAGTTAGTGTTACAGTCTAAAGCAGCAGTGTTGCAGTCTGAAGCTGCAGTGTTATAGTCAGAAGCTGCAGTTACAGTCTAAAGCAGCAGTGTTACAGTCTGAAGTGACAGTGTTACCGTCTGAAGCAGCAGTGTTGCAGTCTGAAGCTGCAGAGTTACAGTCTGAAGAGGCAGTGTTACAGTCTAAAGCAGCAGTGTTACCGTCTGAAGCAGCAGTGTTGCAGTCTGAAGCAGCAGTGTTGCAGTCTGAAGTACAGTCTTACAGTCTAAAGCTGCAAAGTTACCGTCTGAAGTAGTCTTGGAGTCTGAAGCTGCAGAGTTATAGTCTGAAGCTGCAGTGTTACAGTCTGAAGCTGCAGTGTTACAGTCTAAAATTGCAGTGTTACAGTCTAAAGCTACAGAGTTACAGTATAAACTGGCAGTGTTACAGTCTGAAGTTGCAGCAAAACAGTCTGACGCGGCAGTAAAAGAGTCAGAAGCTGCAGTGTTACAGTATCAAGCGGCAGTGTTACAGTCTGAAGATGCAGTCTGTAGGGGTCTTTCCACCAGTACAGTGCTGACCACTGCTCTCCCTGTGTTTGTGTTCAGTGCTGCCGGCTCGTCACATGTCCTTCGGTATACCAGCCTCAGGTACTAACCTGGCCTTCGTGGTGCTGGGCGGAGGCTCTCTGACTGCCGCCCTCGTCTATGTAAGTCTATCACTCCATCCATCCATCTCTCTGTCCAGCATTAAAGCAGTTGTTTGGTAAAAAAAAAAGGTTCTTTACTAAAGAAAATGGTTCTTTATAAAACCATGAACACTCAAAAAGTTAAAGAGTTCTTTTCATGGTGAAATGGTTCTTCAGGTTGATGTAAAAATGTGCTTTATATGGTTCTATATAGTACCAAAAATGGGTCTGCTACTGTTACGATGTCAAGCTTGTTATAATAGAAGAACCCTTTCTGGTGCTATGTAGAACCATATACAACACACACTCCATCAAGCTGAAGAACCATTTCACCATGCAAAGAACCATTTAAGCATGTAAAAGGTGCTTTGAGTGTTCATGGTTCTGTACAGGATCATTCTCTTTACTAAAGAACCCTTGAAGAACCATCTAGTGTAGTGTTTGTGAACCTCGGAAGCGCGAGCCAATAGAAAAGAGGAGATTAAGCTGTGGAATCTCCTTTCTTAAATAAACTAAACAGGCAAAATAATATGCCAGTTGTTGCCCACAGTTGGAAAAAAATGGGCTAGTAAACTAGCTAACGTTAGCTGTTTACCAAACTAGACCCCTCACACTCACATCAGGACCACCTCGGCTAAGATAAGGGGTCATTATACGGAAACGTCCATTTTTGTGTCCCTGGTGTTTACAGATATATTACACTTAAAAAACATGTTAAGGTTACAATTTATTTACAAATTCAAATAAAACAAGATATTTTAACAGTAACACCTTCTTGAGCCTCAATTTATCAATATTGGTTTATAAATCAATAATATAGAATTCCAGGCACCACAGAAGAGCTCGTCCTCACAGTCATGTGTGAAGGCTGAGGCCATATTTTGAGGTAAAAACATGTTTTTTTGTAATTTTAACTGCAATAATCTATACATGACTATGGAATATATTATTTAAATGTCATAAAGAAAACAAATAAATATTATAAAATATATAATGAAAGTTATTGTACCAAGGAGTTGTGTCACTGGTGTTACTGCGTATTTTGAAATAAAAGTCACACTGATGACATCACTTGACTTCCTTTTACCTGTTTTCTGAGGATCTATGAAGAAAAGCTCATGGTGAGTCCACTGTGTCTTTCAGTTATCAGAGATTTTCTCATTTAGCTCATGATTTCATATGAAGCTTTTAGCTGAAGTCACTGGTGTGACCGACTTTATTCTGAGGTCATTGTGAAAAAATAGAATACAAATGGATTAAATTACATATTTTAGTGGATATTCCATGATGGACAACATGTGGTTTGATGCTCTGTAGCCGTTTAGTAAAATGCATTGTTCATTAAAATGTCTCTGGTGTTCCTTTATTATGTGTGACACCAGTGAGGACCAGTGACACCAGTGACTCCTATGGAGAGATTTCTGTAGAATGACCCTGATGGCGAAGCGTCAGTCTGGCACGTCTCCGGCTTTAGCCACACATTTTGGACGGCGCTAAGCAGTGCTAACATTATTTGTTAGCCACATTAGCCTCGTAGCTCCAGTGTAGCTCCGAAGAAACACCAGATCTGTCCTGGTTGTCTTGGCCGATTGACACAGATATGAGGAGGTGTTTTAAGTTCTGGGTGCTGAAATTTTAAACAGTATATCGGAAGAAAACTGCGTATCTCCATTTTTGTCGTTTTTCAGTTTTGACATAATTTGAAAATACCTGTTGGACTTTATGTTGTGTGTAAATTTCATGATGAATGGACCAAAAGAAACAGACCAAAATGACTTGGAAAGACGTCTGGTTCCATTGACTTACATTAAAAGTAAAGTAAGTTTTTTCCTTCTCCTGTAAAGTTACCATTTTGGAGGTGCGAGGTTTTCTGAGGTTTTCAACAGCGATGATTTGAATGGTGACATCACGGAAAATTGAATTTTTTCCAATTGAATTTTTTTGATAATTTACTTCAAACAGAGCCGTAACGTGCCGAGAGACGACAGTGTACCCACATTACTGACTCCTGGTTTCCCTGCTCGCTCTTTTTCTGGACGTCAGGCATTCAACTTTACGAGGCTGGAATTGGCTTCCAATTCGAATTTTCCCATCCCACCTTAAATGGTGCAGCAGTTGTTGTAATAATGCCTGATGCCAGACTGTAACTGCTGCACCATTTAAGGTGGAACCAGACGCTGGCCTGGCAGAGCGAGTAAGGCGAAGAGAGTGCTTTTGCTGCTGTTTTTCAATCGATTCTTTGGATTTTTCTCCCGTATGAACGACAACTTTTGGTACTCGATAACCCAACAAAGTCTTCATTTTATTTTCATTTTACTTTAATCATCCTTCCTTCCGCAGGCGTATAAGACGGTGCACTCGGACAGCATGAGATACAACAACCGCATCTCCGACATCGAGGCCAGATTTAAGAGTAAGTCCTGAAGTTTATGTCCGAGTTCCTGTAGGGGGCGCAATGCACCCCCACTGTCTGGATTACTTAACGGCACCAGCACAAAATATATGGAAATAATAAAATGAAATATGAAACGTATTAAATCATGTTTGGTGTCTGAGGTTTCCTTCTTTAGCTTCACACTGGAGCTACCAGGCTAACGTAGCTAACAAGTAATAGCATCACCCTGCTAATTAGCCTCAAACGATCTCAGACTTACGAGTCAGATTTAAACGTTTAAGCTCTGATTGGTCTGTTTAGCAGCTGTGCTAACAAGTGTTCCTCTGTTCTCCTCGCAGGTCAGGAGGAAGGTGAGTGGAGCTCATGCTGTGTTCAGGTGCTCATGGGAAGGTTGTCTATACCAGATGGTTAACTAGTACCTACGACTCCACTCTGTTCGGGTGCTCATTCATCAATATCTCTCCGTCTCTGACAGCATTAGCTTTGGAATTAGCACTCCAGCTCTGCTAGCCTTAGCATGGGTTAGCATTAAAGCTCTGCTAGCATTAGCATATGGGTTAGCGCTCTGTCTCTGACAGCATTAGCTTTGGAATTAGCACTCAGTCTCTGCTAATGTTAGCAAGGGTTCCATCTCTGCTAACATTAGCTTATGGGTTAGTGCCCTGTCTCTGCTAGCATTAGCTTTACAGTTAGTGCCCTGTCTCTGATATCATTAGCTTAAGGATTAGTGTCTGCTTGAATTAAGGGGCACTATCGCTCTGTCTCTGCTAATATTAGCTTTAGAATTAGCACTCAGTCTCTGCTAGTAGTAGCATGGGTTAGCATGAAAGCATTAATTTAAGAATTGGCACTCCATCTCTGCTAGCATTAGCTTAAGGGTCAGCATTCTGTCTCGGGTAGCATTAGCATTAGAGCTAGCACTCTGTTACTATTAGTATTAGAGTTAGCACTCTGTTAGTATTAGTATTAGAGTTAGCACTCTGATAGCATTAGAGTTAGCACTCTGTTAGTATTAGAGTTAGCACTCTGTTACTATTAGTATTAGAGTTAGCACTCTGTTTGTATTAGCATTAGAGTTAGCACTCTGTTAGTATTAGCATTAGAGTTAGCACTCTGTTAGTATTAGTATTAGAGTTAGCACTCTGTTAGCATTAGAGTTAGCACTCTGTTAGTATTAGAGTTAGCACTCTGTTACTATTAGTATTAGAGTTAGCACTCTGTTTGTATTAGCATTAGAGTTAGCACTCTGTTAGTATTAGAGTTAGCACTCTGTTAGCATTAGAGTTAGCACTCTGTTAGTATTAGAGTTAGCACTCTGTTAGCATTAGAGTTAGCACTCTGTTAGTATTAGAGTTAGCACTCTGTTACTATTAGCATTAGAGTTAGCACTCTGTTTGTATTAGCATTAGAGTTAGCACTCTGTTAGTATTAGAGTTAGCACTCTGTTACTATTAGTATTAGAGTTAGCACTCTGTTTGTATTAGTATTAGAGTTAGCACTCTGTTAGTATTAGAGTTAGCACTCTGTTACTATTAGTATTAAAGTTAGCACTCTGTTTGTATTAGCATTAGAATTAGCACTCTGTTAGTATCGGTATTAGAGTTAGCACTTTGTTAGTATTAGTATTAGAGTTAGCACTCTGTTAGTATCAGTATTAGAGTTAGCACTCTGTTAGTATTAGCATTAGAGTTAGCACTCTGTTAGTATTAGCATTAGAATTAGCACTCTGTTAGTATCAGTATTAGAGTTAGCACTTTGTTAGTATTAGTATTAGAGTTAGCACTTTGTTAGTATTAGTATTAGAGTTAGCACTCTGTTAGTATTAGAGTTAGCACTCTGTTAGCATTAGAGTTAGCACTCTGTTAGTATTAGAGTTAGCACTCTGTTACTATTAGCATTAGAGTTAGCACTCTGTTTGTATTAGCATTAGAGTTAGCACTCTGTTAGTATTAGAGTTAGCACTCTGTTACTATTAGTATTAGAGTTAGCACTCTGTTTGTATTAGTATTAGAGTTAGCACTCTGTTAGTATTAGAGTTAGCACTCTGTTACTATTAGTATTAAAGTTAGCACTCTGTTTGTATTAGCATTAGAATTAGCACTCTGTTAGTATCGGTATTAGAGTTAGCACTTTGTTAGTATTAGTATTAGAGTTAGCACTCTGTTAGTATCAGTATTAGAGTTAGCACTCTGTTAGTATTAGCATTAGAGTTAGCACTCTGTTAGTATTAGCATTAGAATTAGCACTCTGTTAGTATCAGTATTAGAGTTAGCACTTTGTTAGTATTAGTATTAGAGTTAGCACTTTGTTAGTATTAGTATTAGAGTTAGCACTCTGTTAGTATTAGAGTTAGCACTCTGTTAGCATTAGAGTTAGCACTCTGTTAGTATTAGAGTTAGCACTCTGTTACTATTAGTATTAGAGTTAGCACTCTGTTTGTATTAGCATTAGAGTTAGCACTCTGTTAGTATTAGAGTTAGCACTCTGTTACTATTAGTATTAGAGTTAGCACTCTGTATTAGTATTAGAGTTAGCACTCTGTTAGTATTAGAGTTAGCACTCTGTTACTATTAGTATTAGAGTTAGCACTCTGTTTGTATTAGCATTAGAGTTAGCACTCTGTTAGTATTAGAGTTAGCACTCTGTTACTATTAGTATTAGAGTTAGCACTCTGTTAGTATTAGCATTAGAGTTAGCACTCTGTTAGTATTAGCATTAGAATTAGCACTCTGTTAGTATCAGTATTAGAGTTAGCACTTTGTTAGTATTAGTATTAGAGTTAGCACTTTGTTAGTATTAGTATTAAAGTTAGCACTCTGTTAGTATTAGAGTTAGCACTCTGTTAGTATTAGAGTTAGCACTCTGTTACTATTAGTATTAGAGTTAGCACTTTGTTAGTGTTAGTATTAGAGTTAGCACTCTGTTAGTATTAGAGTTAGCACTTTGTTAGTATTAGTATTAGAGTTAGCACTCTGTTAGTATCAGTATTAGAGTTAGCACTTTGTTAGTATTAGTATTAGAGTTAGCACTTTGTTAGTATCAGTATTAGAGTTAGCACTCTGTTAGTATCAGTATTAGAGTTAGCACTCTGTTAGTATTAGCATTAGTGTTAGCACTCTGTTAGTATTAGCATTAGAATTAGCACTCTGTTAGTATCAGTATTAGAGTTAGCACTTTGTTAGTATTAGTATTAGAGTTAGCACTCTGTTAGTATTAGTATTAAAGTTAGCACTCTGTTAGTATTAGAGTTAGCACTCTGTTAGTATTAGAGTTAGCACTCTGTTACTATTAGTATTAGAGTTAGCACTTTGTTAGTATTAGTATTAGAGTTAGCACTCTGTTAGTATTAGAGTTAGCACTCTGTTACTATTAGTATTAGAGTTAGCACTTTGTTAGTATTAGTATTAGAGTTAGCACTCTGTTAGCATTAGAGTTAGCACTCTGTTAGCATTAGAGTTAGCACTCTGTTAGTATTAGAGTTAGCACTCTGTTAGTATTAGCATTAGAATTAGCACTCTGTTAGTATCAGTATTAGAGTTAGCACTTTGTTAGTATTAGTATTAGAGTTAGCACTTTGTTAGTATTAGTATTAGAGTTAGCACTTTGTTAGTATCAGTATTAGAGTTAGCACTCTGATAGTATCAGTATTAGAGTTAGCATGCTGTCACTGCTAGCATTAGCTAAAGTCCAGCGCTGTGCAGAGTCGTGCGTGTTCTCTGGATAACGGCGTCGGTGCAACTCAAAAGTCTTCGTCACGTTTGTTGACGTTGTTAAGCTTTTTAAGCTACTTTATTTGTGTTAATTTTGCTACGTTTGTCGTGTAAACACACACACATTGGGTGATGCTGCTTATTTATAGTTATATATTATAGTTATTTTATAACTCAGATTGTGCTAAATGCCATTTGTGTATGATGACTGGGGTCCGTTTGCTCCCATTCTTTGGCCTTTTTGACTGAACAGCTTTCCTCTGCCCCTGCAGTTATGACATCAGAAGCTCCAGCGGGTGACCCCGCCCCCGTCGCCGAAGTGACAGCACTGCACGCAGTGGCTGAGGCTGTTGTCGTAGAAACCGTGACCGGAAAAGCATCGGAGGGTCCAGAGCCCGTGGAAGAAGAGTTACCTGTTGCCGAGGCAACGGACCCAACCCCAGACGCCGGAGATGCTGTTGAGTACGTGGTTGCCATGGTGGTGACGGAGGCAGCAGCCCAGGAAACAGAAGCGGCCGTTGCCGAACCAGCTGAGCCTGCCGTACCTGTTGCTGTGGAGACCACTGCCGTGGAGACGACGGTGACCATTGCCGAGGCAACGGCTGAGCTGTCTGCTGTAAAAGAAGCCCCAGCTGCCTAGACAGCCCCTCTCAGAGTATTGATTAGCAGTCTGTGCTTTATCGGTGTTCATTTCTACAGGGATGGAGAGAGCTCAGAGCGCCCCCTGCTGTTTGAGTTCAAAACGCAGTTATACACAGTTATACAGCTCAGCAAAATATTCTGCCATACTGTGTTTGTGGCAAAAGGTTCACAAAAGTTCCAGCTTTGAATGAAGTTTAATCCGTTATTTAAAATTTTCATAAGGAGAAATTAATGGAGAGTCAAAATGTTTTGAAGGCGACCAGCAGATGGCGCAGTTCTGCACCTTCCCAGAAAGCTGCTGTAAGCTGAATGGGCGGGGCTAAAGTGCTAGAGTTTTGGTAGAATTCTTTCGCGTGTTAAGAGACTTTTATTTTCCTCTGCCGTCACTCACTGCACTGTAAACCTAAATTAGTCGACTTCGTTTTAAAATTTTATGCCAGCACACTTCTGCCGCAAGTAAGCTTAACTCAACAGCCTGATCATTCTAAATCATTCCAGTTGAGCTGACTCTACTCCGCTGTTTCCTGTTCTCGATGCAACTTCAACAGTTAGCTTAGCCGCTCATTTAATTGTGCTTTGCTGCTGATGTCTATCTGTGTACAGTTCGTTGGTATCAACTGTGGAACAGCTCCATTATTTTAAATGGATTATTCCTTGCAGTAATTACCAACTGGCTGCATATCCAAAGGTTTCGTACTGTTTCTGCCATTTCTTCATGCAGTAATGAATAAGACAAGAGTTGGACATTTTAGCAGCTTTTCCACTGAATAACACCAGCTTGACTCGACTCGACTCGCCCTTTTTGGTTCTCCATCAGGTAAATCTGGTTCCTGGTTCTATTTTTGGTACTACCTCCGTCGAGGGTCCAGGCGAGCTGAGCCGATACCAAAAGGTGCCATAAAAACGCTCCAGACTGAGAATCACCAAACAGGTTAGCGTTGCGTCGCCTTTGGGCACCAGAGTCGTCTCGTCGTCTGAACTGTAGTTTTTCCCAAATTCTCCTGATTTTATCTTGTTGCCTGAATAAAATTTGTCTCCTTTACATCATGGCAGTTTCATGTGGCGTCGCTATGACGACCAGTTACATTGAAGGGGCACTAGGTCTGCAGTGGAAAACAAAGTAGCTGGTACCGAAAGCGAGTTGAGTCCACCATGAAGTGGAACAGTGGCTTTTGAGCGGTGGTGGACGAAGTACTCAAACCATGTACTTGAGTTAAAGTAGAGACACCCAAGGTAAAATATTACTCCAGTAAAAGTAGAAGTTCCTCCCTTTAGACCTCCACTTGAGTAAAAGTACAAAAGGATTTACCTTCAAATGTACTTAAGTATCAAAAGTAAAAGTACTAAAAGATTAATTATGACTTTAATGTCCTGTTATCATTTTTATAACAAGACTCCAGTGTCTCTCTTGGTAAACCAGTCTTTTAATAGAATGTCATTAATTAGTGACGCTGATGTCTATTAAAATTATCATAAGCACAAAACACTGAAGGCAAACAGTTTCCATCAGGTAGAACTGAGTGGCTCTGAAATCACTTTTTACAAACAAGCAAAGTTTCAGTTTAAGATTTATTTGCAGCTTAGTTACAAATTTAAGTTTAATAAAAACTTTAAACTCAGATTCACAAATGAGTTTCCTTTACTAAACTGCATCTGTAGGTCTCTGTTCATAAACATAAACTAGTCAAAACAAATTTACTATAAAATGAAATATTGTTTGTATAAATTCAGAAAAAAGACACGTCAGTCACGACTGCATATGAGTACATATTTCTATATTGTGGTCTGTTTACACAAAGTTAGGTTAGTTCATCATTTATGTTGAATAGACTCTCCCAAAATTTTACACTGCACTGATGTTGAACCGTGTGCTGCACTGGGTCGGTATGACCAAGAGGTCAAAACAAGCTCAAAACAAAGTGACCGCTGTGCCCTGATTGGTGTTCTTGCTTTGCGTTTTGACATGTAACGTTTTTATGCACACATAAACCAAAAGGAACGACAGATTTCTCATAATGTAGTGGAGTAAAAAGTGAGGTATTTGACTCTGAAATGTAGTGGAGTGAAAGTAAAAAGTCGCCCAAAATGGAAAAACTTCAGTAAAGTACAGATACACGAAAAACTACTTAAGTACAGAAACGAATTAGATTGACTTCATTACTGTCCACCACTGATTTTGATGACTCGCATGGCTTCAAGCATCTTTGCGATTCTGTTCAGAGGCCGCTTGAGGCTGGTAGAACCGATAGCGTTCCTGGGACACGTTCAATCTCTAAACGTTGCGCACTGCTTTGCTATGGTTTTTTCCCTGGTGGAACAACATGTTTTGTTGAAACGGTGCGCAGCTTTGAGGTTTGTTTTCTCTGGTTTGATGGGCGTGTCAGAGGAGTTAGCCAATCAGCAGCGATGTGCATAAAACCTCACTGTTCTAAAAAGGCAGCATACAATGGAGTCTAACATAGGCCCAGTCCCATTCCTTATTTTTACCCCACCCCTGCTTTCGAGTGTCTCCTTGCCCCTTGGAACTGAGTTACAGGGTATTGGTTGAAATCTTCCCTCTGAAATGGGACCCTCAAATAAAAAGAGCATCACTTCATTAACAGCTACCAGCGCTGCTCTGTAGGCGACTGCCAGTCTGCAGTGACAGCAGAGGAGGGTAAAGTTCAGCTCCTCACTGCTGGGCTTTAGTTACATTTAGGGGGTCATATGATCTTCAAAGAGGGGGCAATTATTTATTATCACCCATCCCTAATTCTTCAGTGATATGAAGCTGAAGTCAGATATTCTCCAGCTTCTTGTTCGAATTTTCCCGTTCCACCTTAAATGGTGCAGCAGTTACATTCTGGTGCTTCAGGCGTCAGAACTGCTAGAATATTTAAGGTGGAACGGGAAAGTTAGCTAGCTAGCTATTGAGACATCAGCATGCTATTAGCGATTTTTATGCTTGTTATGAAGAAAACGACCAAAATACACTGAAACAACACTAAACTACTGCGATGGGCTGGCGACCTGTCCAGGGTGTATCCTGCCTTCCGCCCGATGACAGCTGGGATAGGCTCCAGCACCCCACCGCGACCCGGAAGGATAAGCGGTTTAGATGATGGATGGCTGGAACACTAAACTAAGATAATATAATGGTTATTGTAATTTTAACAGAGAAAATTCTCACATTTGTTGGTTTCTTTAGTCTCTTGTTCAGCCATCTTGCCATTTTTCCCTTTTTTCTCTGTTTGAAGTCTCTGAAAAACCTCCGTTTGGAGGGTCATGTAACCCCAACACTTCGCCCTACCCCTCTATCTCAACAAGAATGAGGACACCCTACCCCTAGACGTGAACACTGAGGGCTAAGTGGTAGGGGTGAGAGGTGAAATGGGATTGGACCAAAGTCTCTACAAATGCAGCCGCTGCAGCTCGGTGTACGCAACAGTTGAAGATGTATTTTTGAAGTATTTAACACGCATTTAAACCATCAGGCTCCAAAAAGTTTTAGAAAACGATGTTGAGTGGCCCTCTCAGCTTTAAGTGTTTAATGCACCAGCGTTTCCATTTAAATAGACGGTCACACTTTACTTGGATGGTCTCCTATAGATGCTCTAAGGAGACTTAAATCATTAACACACTTTCTGGTGACGTTCAGTTGATTATCAACAACGTTAAGGTTAGGGTCAGGAGTAGATGTAGGTTTTACCTTGAGGTTAAGGTGAGGGTTAGGTTTAGGGTTAGGGTTAATACATTCTTTCACACTAAACTTGAAGTTGAGTTGAATTTTAAGGACATTTAGTTGAATGTTACTTAAAGGCCGACCGAGCATTTACAAAACACCTACAGTGGACCATCCAAGTAACATTTAACTTCACAGTCAGTTGCATTTAATGGCTATTTAGTTGAATGTTACTTAAAGATATACTGAACATTTACAAAGAATCTACAGTGGACCATCCAAATAAAGTGTTACCAAATGGACATTTTACTATGTTTTATTTGGACTGAACGCAGCTCTGGCTGCATGGTGAACTGGCAAACCTGTACATAAAACACCATCATGGTGAACATAATGAAAAATATAAAATGCAAACAGAACTAATGAAAAATTAAGAGTTAATTAACAAAAATTGAATGCTTAGGACTTAACTGACCTTAACAGCAACTGAGGATCATAGACGAAATAGTACGTTACTAGATTTGCATTAGTATATTTAAAGGATGAGCAGTGTCCATCAAAACAATCTACATCAGCGCAGTTATGTGTTACAGTGTGCGGCCAAAACCAGCCACAGGTCCTCCTTGATTAGGCTTTAGTAAAGAAAACGGTTCTACATAGAACCATGAACACTCAAAGAATCCTTCTCATGATTAAAGGGTCCTTTGCGTGGTGAATATGTTCTATACAGCACCCAAAACGGTTCTTGTTTTGGTACAAGCTTGACATCGTAACCCCAACAGAACCCTTTTTGGGTGCCACGTAGAACCCTTTTCAAAAACGTTCTATATAGAACCATTTACAGCACATTCTACATCGATCTGAAGAACCACTTCACCATGCAAGGAACGTTTAAATCATGCAAAGGGTTCTTTGAGTGTTTGTGGTTCTACATGGAACCATTTTCTTTACCAAAGAACCCTCAGAAGAACCATCATTTTTAAGAGTTAACACATTAGCATAGCGTGCGCGGTGGAGGGATACATGCAGGGCGCTGTGAGGCAAAATAGTCCCCAAAGAAAACGTATTATTTCAGATTTCCCACTATTTTCCATCATCAACATTCCATATAAACTCAGCGAAGTCTCCTCCAGTGCCTTTCTGGTGCCTTTACTGACACCGAGCTGATCCACTTTGGTCACTGTGACATTGATTAACACATATTTTACATTATTTAACTTTATTGGTCTTTATTTAGCTGTATGAATTCTGTTTGAACCCAAACGGCGTCCACAGACACAAACTGGCTGCGCCTGCTCTTTCCTTTCCTGCTGAAAGTTTTTTGTTTACGCTTATCAACTTTAAAAAGACTTTAAAATAATTCTGGCTCTGAAATGCTCCATTTTTATTTGACTCCTTTTTAGGCTTTTCGTACACTTTTAAGTAAATTATCTTTTATTAGTCCCACAACAGGGAAATTCACCTCCACGTTTAACCCATCTGTACAGTGAAACACCACATACACACTAGTGAACACACACACTAGGGGGCAGTGAGCACACTGGCTCGGAGCGGTGGACAGCCCTATCCACAGCGCCCGGGGAGCAGTTGGGGGTTAGGTGCCTTGCTCAAGGGCACTTCAGTCACGTACTGTCGGCTCAGGGGATCAAACCAGTGACCTTCCGGTCACAAGGCTGGTTCCCTAACCTCCAGCCCACAACTGCATCTAAAGCCCACAGCTGCCCCTAATGTGCACCTGTGTTTTGTTCTTTAGCCACTAGGGGGCAAACATTGTTTACTCTGAGCTAAATCTTGGGCCTCATTCACATATACTGCAGCTGTATCCCGATTCAGGAGCTGCATCCTTCAAAGGACGTGGTTTACGAAGGCGAGTCCTTCGAAGGCTACGTAAACCCGCGAAGGCTAAACCAAAATGAGACGAGCTACTCTACTGCGGATTTGCTGTTTGCGTCACAGCACCACTGTTCCCGCCCTCACCAGTGCATCACGAAACGCTGCTCCTGTCAAGTTCTTTTAAATTTCTTTAAAGACGGAGAAACTTTGATTTTAGTTTATTACTTTTTTCATTTATTAGAGCTGGAGGTGCTTCTCTCTGTCAGCTCTTTGCTCCCTAAAATAAAATAAAATGTTAGCATTTTTTATTGTATCTTTAGCTATTCGACTCAGTTTAAACCCAATACTTACATTTAAAGTGTCTCCTCAGCCGACGTTCGCTCCTCTGCTGCCGCTGCCATGTTCTCGCCAGCACGCAGTTAAACTTGGATATGTTGAAAAAACATAAAACATATACAGAAAACTGTATACAAACTTACACTGTGAAAAGTGGCTCATTAGATCAACATAAAAAAATTCTTCATGTGGTAACAAGTAATTAACTAGTTTTATTCAACCTAAATAAATACTTTGAATGAACGATTCTTTTAATCACTGTAGTTTTTTAAGTTGAATAAAACCAGTTCAATAGCTTGTTACTACATGAAGTAATTTTTAAGTAGATCTGACGAGCCACTTTTTATAGCATAAAAACTCAATTTTTAGAATTTCATTTATGATGAAATACTAGTTTTGTGCTGCGAACGGATTTCCCAGTTGGTCTACCAGGTTTGAAATTTGGCCTAAACACAAGTCAGAATGCTGACGAGGACAAACAAACATATTATGCACTTTTATAAATGATAATTGATCCGAGCGACTGTTGTCACCATTTATCTGTCTGAAACAGGACTGTCTGTATAACTTTCTCACTGCTCTGCAGCTCAAACGCTGCATGTATGAAAGGCCAGCATGTTTGAGCTGTAGCGCTAACACTGCTGCATCACTCACACCAAGCAGAGGCAGCATGTGTGAATTAGGCCTTAGTTTGTCTATTGTTTTTTGATACAGATGGAAAATCTCATGGGGAAATGTGTTTATATCAGCATCAACTGCTACAACGTCTCATTAACCCTCATCTAAAACACTAATGTCAGAATTTTCAGAGGAGCTGATTGTTTCAAAACATTCTAATAAAGTTTTTCTTGACTCTCTTGCAATTTTTGGCTCTTTCTTTCTACATTATTTCCACCGCATTTGCTTCATGTTGCCTAGCGAAACGTTGGTTTGGTGTGAAACGCTCAGTGGTGGTGATAGGAACCAGACGTCCACCTCTAAAAGCTCCCTCACAGAAAGTTCCTACATGAAATGGTTATGAATTCACTGCCTGATGACTGAGACACTGTTTTATGATAGTTTAGAGAACTTAAACTCCATTCATGGTGGAGGGATACATGCAGGGCGCTGTGAGGCAAAATAGTCCCCAAAGAAAACTTATTATTTCAGATTTTCCACTATTTTCCATCATCAACATTCCATATAAACTCGTGTAGGTTCACTGGTGGTTCTGGATAGTAAATAAAATGTCTATATTTGTGTTGTAGTCATGGCGACCCCTGGTTCCTATCACCACTACTGTGAAGACATCTGAACCAGTTCACACCAAACTGCTCTGAATCTCTCTGATTACATCTCACACGGTGAGAGTAACTTTGACCTCTAGGAAATATCAAAGGTTCTGGTGGGAATTATGCCCCCGCCTCACCTTTGGTGTGACCTATCAGTGGTTCTCACACTAATACAGTTGATGTTACACTCTCAAAAATTTGGTTCTTCAGATTGATGGAGAATATGCTGTATTCACTTCTATGTAGCACCAACAAGGTTCTGCTATTGTGACGACGTCAAGCTTGTATACAATAGAAGAACCCTTTTGAGCACTACATAGAACCATATACAGCACATTCTCCATCAACCTAAAGAACTATTTCACCATGCTAAGTACCATTTAAACGTGCAGATGGCCCTTTGAGTGTTCAGGGTTCTATATAGAACAGCTGCCTTTACTAAAGAACCCTTGAAGAACCATCTTTGTTAAGTGTGTAAGACACTTACTACACAAGAGTGTAAGACTGGGCCCCAAAGCAGAGGGAATTTCTTTAACGATAAAATTGTATTACAGTGACCTCGTCATCCAAATGAACCAAAACAAATGTGTATCGAATGTTTAATTCAGTCTAAAACAGCAAGTTGTCCCCATTAAATTTGGAAAAGCCATTAAATATAAAAAATGACATCAATAATTAATTTAGAGACATTAAACATCAATGGGATCAAACTGACTCCAAAGATAACAGGAGGGATATTATTGAATGGTGAGTGGTGCCATCTAGTGGCAGCAGGTGGTGTAGTCAGAGAGACCTGCTCTCCCTCGGCTCTGTTTGGGTTTATGTCTACAGTAATGTTACTCCACATTAGACCAAATCTAGTCTTCATCTGCAGTTCTTACACCGACTGGAGGGAGTACAGTGTTCTAATATATTCGGTTCCACTGGAGTGGCCCTAAAGAGCTCTCTCCACTTCTAATAACAGTTTTAGATTTAGATTCTGCTCTGGAAACTGGATCTAAATCCAGATGTAAATGTGAACACTGCTGAACTCAGATTGGAACGCTGCACTCCATTTTACTCAGATCTGAGCTTAATGTCTTAAACGTTCACATCTGACAAGGAAACTAATAAATTAAAACATAATTAATGCTTTATTTATTTCAATAAGGACACAAAAGGTTTATAAATATTATTGTAACACAACAAAGTGATACTTAAGTATATGCATCATTCTGAACTGGTTCAAAGTCAGAGTCGAAATACATTGGGAATTTTAGCTGATCTTGGACTTTAGATTGAAATCTAACTTTAAATCTAACTCTAACTTTTAATCTAACTCTGACTTTTAATCTAACTTAAAATGTAACTTCAAATCTAACTTTAAATCTAACTCTAACTCTAAATCTAACTTTAAATCTAACTCTAAATCTAAATCTAACTTTAAATCTAAATCTAACTTTAAATCTAACTCTAACTCTAAATCTAACTTTAAATCTAACTCTAAATCTAAATCTAACTTTAAATCTAAATCTAACTTTAAATCTAACTCTAAATCTAACTCTAAATCTAACTCTAACTCTAACTTTAAATCTAACTCTAAATCTAACTCTAAATCTAACTTTAAATCTAACTCTAACTCTAAATCTAACTCTAAATCTAACTTTAAATCTAACTCTAACTCTAAATCTAACTTTAAATCTAACTCTAACTCTAAATCTAACTTTAAATCTAAATCTAACTTTAAATCTAAGTCTAACTCTAAATCTAACTTTAAATCTAAATCTAACTTTAAATCTAAATCTAAATCTCAATTTAACTCTAAATCTAACTCTAACTCTAAATCTAACTCTTACTTTAAATCTTACTCTAAGTCTAACTTTAACTTTAAATCTAAAGCTAACTTTAAGTCTAATTCACTTTAAATCTAACGCTAAATTTAAGTCTAACTCACTTTAAATCTAACTCTAAATCTAAATCTAACTTTAAATCTAAATCTAACTCTAAATCTAACTCTAACTCTAAATCTAACTTTAAATCTAACTCTAAATCTAAATTTAACTCTAAATCTAACTCTAAGTCTAACTTTAAATCTAACTCTAAATCTAACTCTAACTCTAAATTTAACTTTAAATCTAACTCTAAATCTAACTTGAAATCTAACTCTAACTCTAAATCAAACTCTAAGTCTAACTCTAAATCTAACTTTTACTTTAAATCTTACTCTAAGTCTAACTTTAACTTTAAATCTAAAGCTAACTTTAGGTCTAACTCACTTTAAATCTAACGCTAACTTTAAGTCTAACTCACTTTAAATCTAACTCACTTTAAATCTAACTCTAAATCTAACTCTAACTTTAAATCTAACTCTAAATCTAACACTACCATTTTAATATAACTAACTTTTAATTTAACTTAAAATCTAACTTTAAATCTAACACTATTTTTAAATCTAACTTTAAATCTAACTCTAAATCTAAGTCTAACTCTAAATCTAAGTCTAACTCTGAATCTAAATCTAACTTTAAATTTAACTTTAACTCTAACTCTAAATCTAACTCTAAGTCCAACTCTCACTTTAAGTCTAACTCTAAGTCTAAATCTAACTCTAACTTTAAGTCTAACTTTGAATCTGATTACAGAATCTGCGGAACACTGAACTGTTTGGAACAAGACTACAAAATGGCCGCAGCCGTCATGCGCCTTTCTAGGCGCCCTAGGTAGGGAGTGCGTATGCGGTTTGGAGCGCGCGCCCACTCGCTTTCGGCGCAGTGGTGTGACGTCACCCCGCCTGCGCGTCTGCGTGTTTAGAAGAGAAGTTGATTATCTCTCCGTTAAAGAGAGAACCAAGGAGAACAGCTCGGGTCCGGCTCGGCTTTGTTCTCCCTCTCGGCGCTGAGGGGGTGATTGGAGTGGAGGGAGTGAGGAGTTAGTGAGACACAGCCCGCAGCGCCGCAGCTTCCCTCACCCACAGCTCTGATAAGAACGACACACTGACACACTGAGGCTCTGCTAAAGTCTCTGTGCCGAGCGGCTGCAGGTAAAGTCACTCCTGCACACTCTTACCTCACCCTCACAGCTGGAGCGCCAGCTGATGCAGCTCCGCTCTGTGCGCGCGCTGCGATGGAACTGTATCTGTGGGGTTCTAGCTAACAGCTGTAGCCGAAATGCTAATGTCAAGCTAAAGGGGTTTATACAGATGAGCGGGTTTAAACGCCTTTACTGTGTTTATTACAGTGTTTTTCAGGGTTAAACGCCTTTACAGTGTTTACTACAGTGTTGTTGTCTGGTTTAAACGCATTTACAGTGTTTTGTTAGGGTTAAACGCCTTTACAGTGTTTATCACCGTGTTTTTGTCTGGTTTAAACGCATTTACAGTGTTTACTACAGTGTTTATGTCTGGTTTAAACACATTTACAATGTGTATTATAGTGCTTTGTTTGGTTTAAACACGTTCACAGTGTTTATTAGTGTTTTTCAGGTTTAAACGCATTTATAGGGTTTACTACAGTATTTTGTCATGTTTAAGCATATTTACAGTGTTCATTACAGTGTTTTTCAGGTTTAAACCTATTTACAGTGTTTATTACAGTGTTTGTCAGGTTTATTATAGTGTTTTCTGTCAGGTTTAAACATATTTACAGTGTGTATTATGGTGTTTTTGAAGTTTAAATGCATTTACAGCATTTATTACAGCTAGAGGATTGCAGGGCTGGAGAACTTCAGGGCTAGTGGACTTTAAGGCTGGAGAACTTCAGGGCTAGTGGACTTTAAGGCTGGAGAACTTCAGGGCTAGTGGACTTTAGGGCTGAGAACTTCAGGGCTAGTGGACTTTAGGGCTGAGAACTTCAGGGCTAGTGGACTTTAGGGCTGAGAACTTCAGGGCTAGTGGACTTTAACGCTGGAGAACTTCAGGGCTAGTGGACTTTAAGGCTAGAGAACTTCAGGGCTAGTGGACTTTAGGGCTGGAGAACTTCAGGGCTAGTGGACTTTAGGGCTGGAGAACTTCAGGGCTAGTGGACTTTAGGGCAGGAGAACTTCAGAGCTAGAGGACCTTAGGGCTAGAGAACTTGAGGGCTAGTGGACTTTAGGGCTGGAGAGCTGCAGGGTTAGAGGACAGCAGGGCTAGAGGACTTTAGGTCTGGAGAACTTCAGGATTAGTGGACTTTAGGGATGGAGAGCTGCAGGGCTAGTGGACTTTAGGGCTGGAGAACATCAGGGCTAGTGGACTTTAGGGCTGGAGGACTGCAGGGCTAGTGGACTTTAGGGCTAGTGGACTGTAGGGCTAGAGAACTTCGGGGCTAGAGGACTGCAGGGCTAAAGGACTTTAGGGCTGGAGAACTCCAGGGCTAGTGGACTTTAGGGCTAGAGGACTGCAGGGCTAGTGGACTGTAGAGCTGGAGAACTTAAGGGCTTGTGGACTTTAGGGCTGGAGGAATTTAGGGCTAGAGGACTTTAGGGCTAGAGGACAGCAGGGCTAGAGGACTTTAGGGCTAGAGAACTTCAGGGCTAGTGGATTTTAGGGCTGGAGAACTCCAGGGCTAGTGGACTTTAGGGCTAGTGGACTTTAGGGCTGGAGGACTTTAGGGCTGGAGGACTTTAGGGCTGGAGAACTTTAGGGCTGGAGAACTTTAGGGCTGGAGGACTTTAGGGCTGGAGGACTTTAGGGCTGGAGGACTTTAGGGCTGGAGGACTTTAGGGCTGGAGAACTTCAGGGCTAGTGGACTTTAGGGCTGGAGGACTTTAGGACCAGAGAACTTTAGAACTGGAGGGCTTTAGGGCTGAGAAACTTTATGACTTTAGAGGTGGACTACTTCAGTGCTGGAGAACTTTTGTACTGGAGAACTATAAGACTTTAGGGACTCTAGAGAACTCCAGGGCTGGAGGACGTCAGGGCTAGAAGACTTTACGTCTGGAAAATGTCAGGGCTGGAGGACTTTAGGGCTGGATAACTTCAGTGATTGAGGACTTTAGGGCTGGAGGACTTTAGGGCTGGATAACTTCAGTGATTGAGGACTTTAGGGCTGGAGGACTTTAGAGCTAGAGGACTTTAGGGCTGGAGGCCTCAGGGCTAGTGGACTTTAGGGCTGGAGGACTTTGAATTAGAGGACTTTAGGGCTGGAGGCCTCAGGGCTAGTGGACTGCAGGGCTGGAGGCCTCAGGGCTAGTGGACTGCAGTGAATTACTGTATAAATATAGACAATTTTTGCAGTGTTCTTGAAACACTTGGAAAAAAAAATGTAACGATATTCAGATGTGAACGTTATTGTAAAATATAGAGACTCAAGTCTTTATCTGTAATTTTGTCCAGCTGTCAGTGAGGTCAGCTTATAGAGTGGTCAGTGCAGCCTGTGCTCCTTCAGGTCCTGTAGCAGCAGATTCAGTTCAGCCTTATCTCTGAATGCTAACGCTGCGCTAGCGCTCCTCTGTGGGCGTCACACTCCTCACATGCTCCCGTCATGTGACGCCTTTTAGGGAGGTCTGACCATGTGACCTTCAGCAGAGAGAGAAAGAGAGAGAGAGAGAGAACTGGATGGAATTTAAGAGAAGCAGTGAAACAGTGAGATTCGGTGGACTGGGAATAACTAAGGAGCTCTGAAGTTTCAGAGAACCACAGGGAACATCAGGAACCGGACTGAGGACTTCACTTTTATTCTGAAGGACTGGAGAATCTCAGGGCTGGAGAACTTTAGATCTTTGGAGCCGGGGGACTTGTTTTTTGAGAGTGTTAGGACTGGAGAATTTTAGGACTTTAGACCTGGAGAATATTAGGACCTTAAGGCTGGAGAACTTTAGGACCAGAGAACTTTAGAACTGGAGGACTTTAGGGCTGAGGAACTTTATGGCTACAGATGTGGACTACTTCAGTGCTGGAGAACTTTAGGACTGGGAAAATTTTAGTACTGGAGAACTATAAGACTTTTGAACAAGAGAATTTTAGGACTGGATGACTTCAGGACTGGAGAGTTTTAGGACCTTTAACTTTAGGACTGAGGGACTTTAGTACTGGAGAATTATAAGACTTTTGAACGGGAGAACTTTAGGGCTGGAGAACTTTAGGATCAATAAGTTCAATAAGTTAAAGTTTTTAATTTTCCCCCATAACTGAGTGGTTGAGCTGTAACCGGAGAGATTCAGAGTGGTTTGGTGTGAAATGGTTCAGATGTCTTTACAGTGGTGGTGATAGGAACCAGGGGTCGCCATGACTACAACACAAATATAGACATTTTATTTACTATCCAGAACCACCAGTGAACCTACACGAGTCTTCTGGGTTTATATGGAATGTTGATGATGGAAAATAGTGAAAAAATCTGGAATAATAAGTTTTCTTTGGGGACTATTTTGCCTCACAGCACCCTGCATGTATCCCTCCACCATGAATGGAGTTTAAGTTCTCTAAACTATCATAAAACAGTGTCTCAGTCATCAGGCAGTGAATTCATAACCATTTACTGTAGGAACTTTCTGTGAGGGAGCTTTTAGAGGTGGACGTCTGGTTCCTATCACCACCACTGTGAACGGTTCTGACTCTAGAATGGAGCGTTTCACACCAAACCACTCTGAACGGCTCTGTTTACAACTTAAACGTTTGATTATGCAGAAACGTGTTTTGATTGGTTGAATTCTCCTTTAAGACGTGGTTGTATCTGTGCATCTGTGTGTCTGCAGTACCGGCGGTTTCCACTGTGTGTCAGTAGAGAGCAGGGGGCTCTGCTGGGTAATGAGTGATGACGTCGGTGGTGCTGGTGGACAGTGGAGGACGAGTGGTGGAGTACATTACTGCAGTGGACAATCTACAGCAGGTAAACACAGGTTCTCCAGTCACAGCATATCTAGAACAGTAGAACCCAGTTCTACAACCCCAGTTCTGCTAACCAATCAGCACTCAGTAGCAGTAATGCAAACCAATCAGTGCTCAGTAGCAGTAATGCCAACCAGACAGCACTCAGTAGCAGTAATTCTAACCAATCAGCCCTCAGTAGCAGTAATGCAAACCAATCAGTGCTCAGTAGCAGTAATGCCAACCAATCAGCGCTCAGTAGCAGTAATGCCAACCAATCAGCACTCAGTAGCAGTAATACTAACCAATCAGCACTCAGTACCAGTAATGCTAACCAATCACCGCTCAGTAGCAGTGATGCCAGCCAATCAGCATTTAGCTGTTTAGCTCCATTCACCCTGTCCACTGAGGACTCTGTCTGGCGCCCTCTGGTGTAGGGGAACAGGAAGTGACCAGGCTCCACTGAACCTGGCTCTAATGACCTCATGCTGATTGGATGCTGGTGGTGTGTAGCTGTGCTGACGTTCCTGCTCTCTCTCAGATGGAGGGTGTGGGTGAGTACCCCGCCGTGGTGGTGGAGCAGGTGGACGATGGTGTGGACGCTGAGGTGCTGGTCTATGATGATGCGGAGCTGATGCAGGACGTAGCCGAGGAACAGGAAGTGGAGACGGAGACGGTGGAGACAGGTAACTCGCACAGACACACCTGCGGCCTCGTTATCACCTGAGGGGTCCACCTACCCCAGATTCTTTCCTTTAAACGTGCGAAGTCCAGTCGAATGGTCATTACTGTCATTCCTCAGTAGAACCACTGACGTGGTGGTGGTGTGTTAGTGTGTGTTGTGCTGGTCTGAGTGGATCAGACACAGCAGTGCTGCTGGAGTTTTTAAACACCTCAGTGTCGCTGCTGGACTGAGAATAGTCCACCAACCAAAAACATCCAGCCAACAGCGTCCTGTGGGCAGCGTCCTGTGACCACTGATGAAGGACTAGAGGATGACCAACACAAACTGTGCAGCAGCAGATGAGCTATCGTCTCTGACTTTACATCTACAAGGTGGACTGGCAAGGTAGGAGTGTCTAATAGAGTGGACAGTGAGTGGACACAGTGTTTAAAAACTCCAGCAGCACTGCTGTGTCTACACCTACACCTGCTGTTTCTCTCTCGCTGTCCTCTAGTGGCTGTTCACAGAACTGCAGCTGCATGCAGCCTGAATTCTTCATTATAAATGATAATGAAGTGCTGGGTTTCGCTTCAAAAGCTGACCGTAACCCAGCGTCTGATCCAGGGTTAGGGGTGGGGTTCAGACCCCAGGTGTGGTCAGCAGGAGGGATATTACCAAACTGGTCAGCTCCACAGTGCTGCTGATCCTTGTGCACTCACTACCCTCTAGTGGCCGTTCACTGAACTGCAGCTGAGCAGCTCGGTGGCTCTGAAAGCCCTGTTCAATATCACTGTGTGATAAATTAACTTCTACACTATAAACCCTCAGACACTACTGTACTGTGTGTACAGTGTATATATGATAGTATAATAAAATAGAATTAGTTAAATAGAAGAGTGTGGAGCTTCATGATGTTTAAAGATACAAATACCTGAAAAACAGCATTTACAGCTCTCATATATATATATAAATCGCTTCTGTCGGAACAAAACCTCGTATCTCCTTTATTGTCATTTTTCAGTTTTTGACATAATTTGAAAATGTTTGTTGCTCTTGTTGCTCATGATGAATGGACCAAAACAAACGGCACAAAATGACTTGTATAAAGGTTCCATTGAGTTACATTAAAAGTAAAGTATGTTTTTTCTTTCTCCTGTAAAGTTACCATTTTGGAGAGGTTTTGATCTGACAACAGCGATATTGTGGGCTGGAGGTTAGGGAACCAGCCCTGTGACCGGAAAGTTGCTGGTTCAATCCCTGACCTTCATATGTATATATATATATATATATATATGTGTATGTGTGTGTGTGTGTGTGTGTGTGAAGTTAATTTAGCTACATTTTATTGTGAGTCTTTTTGGTTATGAAATGTTGTCACAGTAAACAGTATTAAAAACAGCTGAAACTGGCTCTGCAGGGTCTTCAGGCACAGTGCAGTGTTGCGAGTCGGGGTGTTTTCACGGGGGCTCAGCGATGAGTCGCACTTTTATTTTGGCCACTTTAAAGAATAATAAAAGCTCTTTCACATGTTAAAAATGTGTTAAATATGGGGACCTGCGTTTGTGTTTGAGTGTATTTCTGACACTGATTATGGATAAAATAAAAGCATAAATTATTATTATTATTATTATTATTATTATAGTTGTCAATATTTAATATTTAACAGTTATTATATGTAATATATTAATGATATATTCCAATGTTTTAATAATAAAAGGGCAAAAATATTAATGTTTTTTTCCAGCACATTTTATTTATTAAATGTCTTTTTTTGTTTGACAATAATTGTATTGAGAAGCGGTGCTGTGACGTCACAGGCGGAGGGATTTCACTTCTATTATTATTTTTTTATTAGTATTATTTTTGGCCACTGTTTAGATCCCTCCACGCTGGAATGACGTCAGCTGGGGGAAGTAAGGTGGGCAAAGGGGTGGGTAGGGGCGGCACCTGAGGGCGGGGTTAAAAAAACAGGGCGGGACTTCCTGTCCCGGCGGAAGAATCTCCGGTAGTGCTGCGGCTCCTCTCCGGATCATGGCGTTGCACGAGGGAACCGAGAACCAGCTGGACCTGCTGATCCGGGCAGGTAGAGAGAGAGAATAACGGGGCCGTAACGGGGGGCAGAGGGGGCAATAACGGGGGGTAAGATGGGCAAACGGTAGGAACGGAGGGAGTGAAGGAGGAGAGAGGAGCGGGGGGAGAAACGGAGGGCGGTGAGGAGGAGAGTAACGGGACGCGGCGCGGAGAGTGAGAGAGAGAGAGAGAGAGGGGATATTACTGCTAGTGTTATTATTATTATTGTGGTTTATTAGCGCGTGCTCGTGCAAAGTGCGCGAGATGGTGAGTCGTGCACGCGGCAAGCGCGTGCATGTATGTGCGTGCGTGTGCATATGTGTTTTGGAAGGAGGCTCGAGCCTGACCAGGAAGCGGAAGGAAGGACGCCGTTCGCCACCTTCTCGCTCGAACTCTCCGGTCCACCTTAAAAGCCGCTGCAGTAACGGTCTGGCGTCTCGAGCGTTATAACGCAACTGCTGCGCCATTTAAGGTGGAGCGGAGAGTTTCAGCGAGAAGGTGGCTAACGGCGTCCTTCCGCTGCAGACAGCGTGGCACTCGGTGCAAGGTGAACCAAAACGCCGCCGGCATTTAACAAATCAGACATTTAAAGAGTTTTAAAGCGGAAAAGTCGACTTTATAAGCGGAGCGCGTTTGTTTACTTCAACCCGGTTCGTTTTAGCGACCATTCTTATCGCTTTCAGAAACGCCTGGCCGCTTTGTCGCAGCTCTAGCCCTTCTAATCGGACCTTCCGATCAATAACCGGCCCAGTCCGATCACTTTATTGACCGTTAATCTGATTTTATAAATCGTTTTTCGTGGCGGAAGTGTCTGTTATTCTCCCTACACCGATTTGATTGACGCGCGCGTCAGCCAATCAGAGCCGCGATGCATGTGGAAGCGTCGGGAGCGGCCAACGGGAGCGCGGGGCTGGGAGGCGGGGCGGCCAATCGGAGCGAGGGAGGGCGGGGTTTGGAGCCAGTGGAGGGAAAAAGGAGTGTAAACACGGAAGCTTCGACCCGTTATTCACAATTATTCACAATTATTCACTTTTATTCACTTTTAGACGGATTTTAAGCTTTTTAGTGTTTTATTTCATCGAATTTAAGCGACTTAATTATATGGGGGAGATTTTAAACCTGTTTTAGATGCATCTCTCAATGATCTGAGCAAAATAACTTAAAAGTCTAAAACTTTATATTTTAAAAATGCTCCATTTATTAAATGGTCTTGTTTTATGTCCCCAAAATAGCATAATTTACCTCACATGACAGTTTCTAATCCCTCTTCACCACTAAATTAAACATGTGCACATGTAAATGGGTTCGTTGTTGTGATGTCACATAAACAGTGAATTAAAAAATTGGCTGTTTTTGCAAAATATTGTCCATATATGGACTGAAGAGTGAATTCTGCATTTTAAAACTTCAACATTATTTATGTATGACCAAAAAATGACAAAAAATGGGAAATTCAGTTTTCCATGATATGGGCCTTTTAATTTGTTTGATATTTTATGGGCGTGAACATTTTAGGATTTGGTTTAAATGAACATTTTGCCTCTGGATGTCAGCAGCGTCGTTTATATTCAATAAAGTTAGACTTGTAGATGCTGTAATCTTACAGTATTCAGTTTCTATAGTGCTGATGATGATATATATGGTCATATTTAGTTTGAAAGCCTTATTTTAAAGTTTGTTTTTATCCTCCCAGTTCAAAGAAAACATGAGGATTCACGTTCGTGGGAGTCTGCTTTCCACAAAGAAGCTTTGACTTTTATTTGGAAAAACTTTTTTTTAAAAATCAGATCTTTTGGTTGCTGTGATTTTAAAGGGGAGCCCCACCCATTTATCAGAGTTTCTGCATCGAAATGTATACAAAGTCATTTAGACTTGGAACTATATCAATTTTATTTGCTATCCATGCTGACACCTCTGAGGCTTCTGAGTTTTATGTAGAATGTCAATGATGGTAAAATCTGGAATAATAAGTTTTTTTTGGGGACTATTTTGCCTCACAGCGCCCTGCATGTATCCCTCCACCATGAATGGAGTTTAAGTTCTCTAAACTATCATAAAACAGTGTCTCAGTCATCAGGCAGTGAATTCATAACCATTTCATGTAGGAACTTTCTGTGAGGGAGCTTTTAGAGGTGGACGTCTGGTTCCTATCAGCACCACTGTGAACGGTTCTGACTCTAGAACGGAGCGTTTCACACCAAACCACTCTGAATGACTCTGTTTACAATCTTCGCTGCTTAATTATGTAGATAATTTTTGATAAATGGGTGGAGTTGCCCTTCGGGGTTAGGTGTATTGCGGCAGTGTTTACAGAAGAGCGCTGGAGTGTCTAAACATAGTCCCCCGTGATCACGGACAGGCACAGATACCCAAACATGGTCAGCGGAGGGTGTAGAGGAGGAGAGAGAGACGGGAACAGGTGGAGGAACCGGGGGGGGTGATGGGGGGTGACTTGTGACTTGTGGGTTCTGCTGTGTGTGCGTCGTAATGTGTCACAGATCAGTTCGTCTGCCTGTGTCCATCTCTGTGCTTTGCAGACACGATGGCGATGAAATAAACCGGATGTTGGTCTTTATTTATTTCCAGTTGTTTAGTTTTTTTAATTATTTTTTAATTATTTGTGTCCAAATAAACTCAGTGTTGTGCTTCATAGTGTTAAAGGAGGTTCCACTTTAAATAGGTTCCACCTTAAATGAGTTCCACCTTAAAGGAATTCATTTTCTTTACTAAAGTACGCTTGACGAACCGTCTTAAAACAGGGATTGAAAAATTGGATTGTATCAACATCAAATGTTAAAGAAGCAACATTAATAACCATACTTGTACATTTAAAAGTAAAAAATAAAAAAATTATAAACCGTTAAAATTGCAGTAACATAGTAGCGTAATAAATAACATTACAAAAAGATAAAATAAATAAAACATTGTTTCTGAAATAAATAAAGCAACAGCAGATGTAAAACCATAACTTGGCAATAATAAAATAAATTAAGAGAATAATAAAAGTGAAATAACAGCGAAAACATGACAGACTCATATTAAAAGTTGACTAAAATCAGCTAAGCAGTGTCAGGCTTAGTACTTAGTAAGGTGTGGGAACAAGATAATTATGTCATGGCAACGACTTACTAAGGCATGATCTAATGCTGCGTTTTAAAATTATAATATTGTTTAAAATATTTTAGGAATTGGTTTAAATAAATGTTTAAATATTGGTTGATTTAAATAAACATTTAGGTGTATGTTTACCGTCTAAGAGCTGTGGTTACCATGGCAGTATTCAGCTGGGCTGCGGCCTGGTGGTGGGCGAAACTGCTATGATACAGTATCACGATACTGTAAGACAAAAATTCATGATACACGATATTTATTTTCTCCGACATCTGATATGTTGGAAAAGAGGACAGATAAACAGCTGTTAAAGCCTCATTTTAAAAACAATATTAAAACTTGATTACAAATGATTTTCACCTTTTTTCCCACTGTGCTTATTTTAGTATTGCCAAGTGATTATTTTACCCTGTTACGTTATTTTTGTCATTAGTTCTGTTTTTATTTTCTTTATTCTTATTTGATCTGTTATTTTCTGAGTTACTATGTTAATGTAATTTTAATGGTGTATTGATTTTTATTTATTCACTATTAAATTTGCTGTTATGGTTATTATTATTACTTTTTTTGTAGCATTTAATGTGTTTTTACAGTCCAGTTTTTCCCTGATTTCTGTTTTGGCTCGGCTACACTGTAAAAGAGGGTCTCCCTCAGTGTAGCCCCAGTTAGATGACACTGGGATGAAGTATTGTGCTGATAAATTGTAATAATTTGTCACAATAACGGTAATTATTGGCATCGTTTTCAGCCTCACTGCTGCCACCTACTGGGCATGTTTTGAACTGCAGTGCTGAACATGCTGAAAAACGATGGTCGACTCTGAAACGTAAACGTTACTGCTGATGTTTTTGGGGGAGGTGTTCAGAGCGAGTGTTTGTAAACAGCCTGTAAGCGTCTCTGCTGCTCTGCTGATCAGCGTATTGATCCTCTGTGTCTGTGTGTCAGTGGAGGCGTCGGTGCACGGAGGCTACGGCGTGAGCTGCCCCGATAAAACCATCGAAGCAGCCGAAGCTCTGCTACATATGGACTCGCCGTCCAGCTTACGAGGAGACCGCAGCCCAGGTACGCACACGCACTTCACACGGCACGTCTGGAGTAGATCAGTAATCTGTAGAAGTATTGATTAGGGGGTTTTGACGGTCGGACGCACTGTTATCCATAAACACAGTTCTAGATGAAATGTGCATAAAAATAGGTATTTAATTGAAAACGTCTGTGAGATGACGTTTGGGATAATTTTGGAAAATGGGGGGGGGTGTGGGGGGCTGGGGGGGTTTATTAAACTTTATTAGTGTGAATTTGAACTTTATTATGTAAACGTTTGTGTGTGTTTGCGTCTGCAGAGGTGTTTGTTCCTCCGTGCGTCTCCACTCCGGAGTTCCTGCATGCTGCGATGCGCCCTGACGTCGTCACGGAGACGGTGGTAGAGGTCAGCACAGAGGAGGCGGAGCCTATGGAGGTGGTGACCCTCATACAGGAGCCGCAGGGGCTGGAGACCAGCAGGAGGAGGAAAGGTAAGAGAGAGATGGATGTGCGGGGTGGGATGGATGGGGTTTGATGAGAGATGGATGGGGGGTTTGATGAGAGATGGATGGAGGGTTTGATGGGGAATTGATGAGGGATGGATGGGGGGTTTGATGGAGGATGGATGTGGGTTTGATGGGGGTGGTTGAGGTGGGTTCGGGGGTGGCAGCAGCGTACAGGACACAAATATCTTGAGAAATTCGCCGAAGCTTAAGTTGCCTTTTTAGTTAACTTTGCTGTTCCACCTTAAACACTGGGTCCTGACCACTGAAGAACAGGGTAAAAGGGGGCTAACAAAGTATCAGAGAAACAGATGGACTACAGTCTGTAACTGTAGAACTACAAAGTGCACCTATATAGTAAGTGGAGCTGATAAAATGGACAATGAGTGTAGAAACAAGGAGGTGGTCATAATTTTATGCCTGATTGGTGTATTATTGTGTGTTCGTGTGTGTGAGTGAGTGTTCTGAGCGCCCTCTGGTGGAAACATCTGGAATCAGTTTTATTTGATTCTCGGTGCAGTTTTTGTTGGACAGAGATTGAATCTAAGTTTGTTTGTTTGTTTTTGTTTTTATGTTTGTCCGCTGTAGCTGGGAGAAAGCCAAAGCCCCACCCCATATCAAACGGATCCCCCGATTTAGGAATCAAGAAAAAGTCCAGAGAGGGTAAAGGTCAGTCCAGCAGCTCCGCAAATTCACTCAGAGTGTATAAACGGTCAGAAGGTGGAGACTCGCCTGAAAATGACAGACTTATTATGATCAGTTGTAATAAGATTCACCATAAAGCACTAATTTTTCACCCTGAAGTAAAATGTCATGTATGTTTATGTATATATGTGTTTATGATTATGTTCATTTGATGTAAAATTTGATATGATGCTCTGAATTGTTTCCTGAAGAATCAAATCGACTCATTTCTGGTCATTTTGATGTGTTATTATGCACTGAATCGTTCCCTAACAAATCAAATTGATTCATTTTCTAGTGAAGTCTGACATTTTATGAAGCACTGAATCGTACAGAATTGAATCGATTCATTTGTTTTGAAATTTGGTATGTTACGATGCACTGAATCATTTCCTCAAGAATCAAGTTGATTAATTTGTGGTAAAATTGGACATATGTTATGCATTGATTCGTTTTTTAAAAGAATTGTGTTGATTCATTTGTGGAATATTTTCATATCTTATTATAGACTGATTTGTTTTCTGAAGAATCAAACCAATTCATTAGTGGTAATATGTTATGAAGCACTGCCCAATGACAGCTGGGATAGGCTGAATTTAATAAGATAATAATTTTAAATAAAATTTAATAAGCGTTATGATGCACTGAATCATTTCCTGAAGAGTCGTTTGTTTTGTGATGGTTGTTGAGATTTAATGACGGAACGAATCATTTTCTAAAGAATCATATTTGAATGGAATAGCTAAGCTCAGACTGACCCTTCTGTGCTGATCTGTAGGCAGTACTTACCTGTGGGAGTTCCTGCTGGACCTGCTGCAGGATAAGAACACCTGTCCCAGGTATATAAAGTGGACTCAGAGAGAAAAGGGCATCTTTAAGCTGGTGGATTCGAAGGCTGTGTCCAAACTGTGGGGCAAACACAAGAACAAACCCGACATGAACTACGAGACGATGGGTCGCGCGCTCAGGTGAGCTTCCGCACACGACGCTGAGGAACATCTGCTGACCAGAGCCACATCCCTATAAACCCTCCCCCAGAGCCCCGCCCTATAAACCCTCCCCCAGAGCCACCTCCCTATAAACCCTCCCCCAGAGCCACCTCCCTATAAACCCTCCCCCAGAGCCACCTCCCTATAAACCCCCCTCCAGAGCCCCTCCCTATAAACACTCCCCCTGAGCCCCCTCCCTATAAACCCTCCCCCCAGAGCCCCCTCCCTATAAACCCTCCCCCCAGAGCCCCTCCCTATAACCCCCCCCGAGCCCCCTCCCTATAACGAGCCCCCTCCCTATAACCCTCCCCCAGAGCCCCTCCCTATAAACCCTCCCCCTGAGCCCCCTCCCTATAAACCCTCCCCCTGAGCCCCCTCCCTATAAACCCTCGATCAGGAAGAGTGAAATCCCAAATCTTTCTCTCTCTCTCTCTCTCTCTCTCTCTCTCTCTCTCTCTCTCACAGGTATTATTATCAGAGGGGGATCCTGTCGAAGGTCGAAGGTCAGCGGTTGGTGTATCAGTTTAAGGAGATGCCGAAGGACATCGTGGTGATCGACGACGATGACGAAGATGAAGATAAGGGCGACTCCAGCTGTGAGGATCTGGCCAGCGAGGTGTCGTGCGACCGGGTGCTGACCGCCGACCTCTCGAAGACCCCCGGCATCCTGAGGGGGGCGGGGTCAGTAGTGCTGAACTCCGCCTCCCACAGAGGCAACAACCCGCTCGCGGCCACGCCCCTTCAGCGCATAGTGACCGTCTCCACGGCAACGGATGCCACGCAGCCATCCCACGCCACCATTCTTTCCAACACCAGTGCGCCCAGGTACACAGAGATCTTTATTAATGTCATTATTAGTAATATAATTTACATATTAATATTCAGAAAGTACAGGACAGTTCCCTTTTTCACCAGAGGGGGCGACAAATCCTAATTCAGAACATTTTAACAGTTAAATTTAGTATTTTGAGGAAAAAGTGCCACAGAATTTGTTCTGATTGGCCTAAAGTGAAGAAATTTGGTGGAATTATTCCTCAGATGAGCATGTAATAGAAACAGTCTGGATGGTGTGATTACATTTAATTAAATACAGTTTTAATCACAATCAAATTCTGCTTTTTTTATCAAACATCAGGAGTCTCATGTAAGGCTGAGCGATATGGCAAATATATCACAGAGATATTGTCACGATACATGATATGTATCACAATATATGCACTAGTAGTGCCACATTTGAGAGCTGCCCTCAAAAACTCACTTTACAAAAGAAACAGTCAGTCAGTCTTAAAGTGCTGACAATATCTACAGTAGCGAATTGTTCATAGTGATAATAAAATTTATTATGATGACAGTAAAATGTCATATTGCCCACCTATAGTCTCTAGTCTAATGCCTGACACTTTTTCACCAGGCAGCGTTTGGAGTTTAAAAGTTTGGAATCTATATTTTCAATATAATAACAATTTTGATTGCAAATAACTATATAAATTATTCTAACAAAGCTGTTCTTTTTTTTTTTTATTGCTTTAAATAATTACTCGAAAGCTGTGAAAAATTAATAAATTGATTTTTAAGAACTGGCGTCATGAATTCTCTCAGCGAATCATTGTTTTCTCTGCCATGGTTGTCATGGCGACAGCCATCATGACGAATCGGTGAAGATGTAGCATCTCCAGCTAAGGTCCTGAAGTTGTGTTAAAGTGATTTAATCTCCTGAATGAGAGGCTTGTCTGTGATGCCTTCAGGGAGAAAAGTTTCTCCTTGTTTATTGATTAATAGAAATGAATCGATATGTGGTTCCAGTTTTATTCCAGTGTTCTTGTGATCCATTCGTCTCCAGGACTGTCCGAGTTGCAATGCAAGTGCCAGTCGTCATGACGACCTCCCTGGGACAGAAGATCTCCACGGTCACGGTGCCATCAGCCAACCCCCCTCTCCTCACCACGGCGACGGCGCCCACCAGCGTCGCCACGGCGTCCGGAGGTTCTGCCCCTGCCCAGAAGGTTCTGATCCAGACGGTTCCGGCGATGGAAAACGGAGAGAAGATCACGGTGCAGCTCGCCAAGATCATCACCATCCCCACGGCGCAGCTCACGCACTGCCAGCTGCAGCCTAAAGGGGGCGCAGCAGCTCCCACCAGCATCAGCCTGCTGGGGGCACCGCTGGCACTGCGCTCCATCACGCCTGCCACGCAGGTGGTCAGACTGGCTATGCCTGCCCAGCCAAGCCCCGCCCCCACCCTCCAGAACACAGCCAATCAGAATCTGAGCCCCACCCACACGCTCCACCGACCAGTCCCGGCCAAAAGCCCCACTCACACGCCCCAGAGTGCGGCCATTGCCAATCCAGCCCAAATTGTCCAGAACGCAGCCAATCAGAGCCCAGGCTCTGCCCAACTAGGCACCGCCCACACGCTGCAGATTGCAGCCAGTCCCGCCCATGCGCTGGCAACTTCCAGTTCAGCTCAAAGCTCCGCCCAGATGCGCCAGAATGTAGCCAATCAAAGTCTGGGCTCAACCCAAAGCCCCACCCACAGGAGCCAGAATGCAGCCAATCAGAATCCACTTATGTCCCAAAGCCCTGCCCCTTCCTCAGTTGCAGTTCGGATCCAAGTCCAGCACGAGGGGGAGTCAAAAGTAGACAGAGCGCCTCCTGCTGGACACACGACTCAACCACAACCAGAATCCACGCCGCTGACCTCAGCGACCTCTCAGCAGGACCCAGCTGGACGAGAAGTGGCAGGATCCACACAGCAAGTGCCCACGCACAGCTGAAGGTGGAGGAGAGAGTCATGGACCGTCATGAGCATTGGTCAGCTCCCACCGACTGGTCGGAGCCACAGTGCTCCCCCAGTGTCCGGCTGGAGTGAGCGGAGTCTGGCCTGTACAGTCAGAGGTCACGCTGAGGTTAAAAGGGACCAAACGCAGAAATACTACAGTTCTTTGTCCGAAACACTAACGACACTAAACACTACAGCAGAGACGCGTCAACAAAGACTTCAAACCAAATGTGAACTTCAGAGCTCCTGTAAAAATTTTGATACCTTGTAAAGAGATTTTTTTCTTGTTTGTTTTGTTTTTGTTTTCTTTTGCATTTTTTGATGCAAAACCAGCAGATACGTTTGGACTGTCACTGTGAGGTCGGAGCTCTGGGCGCCAAGAGTGACAGGAACTCTGAAAAGAAGGGAAAGAACGATGGAACGAGAGAGAGAGAGAGATTTAGACAAGCAGACGGCTGTACATATTTACTCTGCAGATTAACTGACTCAGCCTTAGGACTGTTCGTATATGAAACTTTCTTTACTTTTTTTTTCGTTTTCACAAAACTTATGAAGCTTTTATGTTGAAGGGATAGTCCAGCAAAAAAATCAAATTTGCAGTTTTCCCCCTTACTTTATTATCCACGATGACTGAAACTTTTCTTTTACCGTGAAGCAAGCACCGGTCATAAGTTTGCAATCAGTATTTTCAAAAAACAAAACCAGTTTCGGTTGCAGGTAAATATGTAAAATTATTTAAATGTGGCCGCCCTAAACTTCGTAGCTTGAAATAATTACTAGGAAGCTGGAAAAAAATTTAAAAATGTAATTTTTAAAAAGGTAAATTCTATAGTATTGAAGGATTGTAAACATTAAGAATAAAGTTTTAGGAAAATTAAATTTAGAATTAAATTCTAATGAAATAAATGTTATGGATTTCCAATAAAAATAATAATCAGAATAAAATTAATATCCTGAATTAATCAAATTTGATAAGTAATCCAATCTTGACGATTATTTAAATAGATAATTGGAGCATAGAACTTACAATACATTGGCAACCACCTGGGATACCATAGCAGTGGCCTAGCAACACCTTAGCAACCACCTGGGACACCATAGCAGTGGCCTAGAAACACTTTAGCAACCACCTGGGATACCAAAGCAATTGCTTAGCTACACCTTAGCACCCACCTGGGACACCATAGCAGTGGCCTAGCAATACCTTAGCAACCTCCTGGGATACCAAAGCAATTGCCTAGCTACTCCTTAGCAACCACCTGGGACACCATAGCGGTGGCCTAGCAACACCTTAGCAACCACTTGGGACACCTTAGCAATGGCCTAGCTACACCTTAGCAACCACCTGGAATACCATAGCAATGGCCTAGCGACACCTTAGCACCCACCTGGGATACCATAGCAATGGCCTAGCTACATCTTAGCAACCACCTGGGATACCATAGCAATAGCCTAGCGACACCTTAGCAACCACCTGGGATACCATAGCAATGGCCTAGCTACATCTTAGCAACCACCAGGGATACCTTAGCAATGGCATAGACAAGCTTTATCAAGCCAACTTACAGCAAATCAGAATCCTTATAACACAACAATAACAAAACATTTAAAACCATCAGTTCAGGAGTTCAGTTTAAATCTAGTTGTTATTGTAAATAAAATAACAATGAGGATTAACTAATCTAATTCCAAACTTCTTGACATTATAACGTGAAAATTGTATAACAAGTAAAAAATTAGACAAAATTCAGTGTTCCAGGTGGCTGTTAATGCGCTCAGCTATGCTAACATACTTAAATCGATGTTTATAGACTACAGTGAGTCATACAGTATCGGAAATCACATAATCAGGTTTATTAGCGATACTGAGCACCTCCACACGGAGCCGAGGTTGATGTTCCTGTTCTCCAGCTTCTTATTCGGAATCTTCCGATCCACCGTAAACGGTGCAGCAGTTCCGTTCTGGTGCCTGAGGCGCCAGGAAGCCAGCTTTACTAACACGACTGAAGCAAGTATGTGGCGTTAGCATCATGCTAATCGCATGTATTAGCTTGTTAGCCACATTAGCCTCGTAGCTTTGGTGCTAAAGCACGTCCTGGATGTCTGAGGTGGGGGGTGAACTGTGTGTTTGGTTTTTTTAGCTGAACTGTCGCTTTAAGCTCGAGTATTTTTTAGCACGTTGTACCAGGCGCAGTATTACTGGCTGACGGGCAGCGGGCGGGATTCGTAGTTTGTATGTTTGTAGTTGTTTGTGTGAGAACGGTCGGGATTCACCGGTTCTCGCGGCCACGGTTTCAGGAAAAGGTCAAAAGGTCACCGACTGCCCACCACTCTTCTCTGCCCTTCGCTTATTCTTAGTCACCGAAGAGGGAGAACCAGATGTTTGTGTTCAGAATGAACTAGTTTGTATATTCAACATTTGAAGTATATTCTATTTTGTTGTACTCTTGTTTCAAAGTGTATTCAAGTAGATTTTACTGAAATATTAAAAACGCAATCTTGAATCAGTCGTGTTTCACGGTGTGTTTCTGTTACTGGTTTTATTTTTTTCTGATGAATTTTCGTCCATCAACCCCATTCGCCCCGCAGTTTTGAGATATCAGCACCAAACCAACTCCGGAATGATCTGGAGTGGATGTGCTGTTTCCATATAGCAGCTGTTTGAAATTGTGCCTGAATGAATTTGTCTCAACGGTAGAAGTAAACTAGCAACGGCATAGCAACCACCTGACATACCATAATAACCATCTAGAGTACTGTAGAAACCACAATGTAACGCCCTAGCAACCACCTGACATAACATGGTAACCACCTACTGTCGCAACTACATTGTAATGCTGTAGCAACCATCTGACATGCCATAGTAACCATCTAGAGTACTGTAGCAACCACATTGTAATACCATAGCAACCAACTGACATAGTAACCATCTAGAGTAGTGTAGAAACCACAATGTAACGCCCTAGCAACCACCTGACATACTATAGTCTTCAAAATTTGACTTACCATTATTAAAATGTAAGAGTTCTAAACATTAGTAATGCATTTCTAATAAAATTACAACCCAAATAAAATTCTAGTAACGTTCTTATGCAGAATTAAAATCCAATCTAATTTATATCCTAATATTCTTAATTTCTAATATAATTAGGAGTCAGAATGATGTTCTAATCAAACTGATATCCCAAATTTATTAAATTGGAAGTGATGATAAAATCTTAACAGTTATTTTAAATAGACGTGTGTGTAGATAGTGTGAGTGTGTGTTTTGTGTGGTGTGTGTGTGTGTTGTGTGGTCTGTTTATATAGTGAGTGTGTGTGTATACAGTGTGAGTGTATATAGTGTGAGTGTATAGTGTGCTGTGTGTGTATACAGTGAGTGTATAGTGTGGTGTGTACGTGTATACAGTGTGAGTGTATAGTGTACTGTGAGTGTATGGTGTGTATATGTATACAGTGAGTGTATAGTGTGGTGTGTATATGTATACAGTGTGAGTGTATAGTGTGGTGTGTACGTGTATACAGTGTGAGTGTATAGTGTGTGTATACAGTGTGAGTTTGTATACAGTGTGAGTGTATAGTGTGGTGTGTATGTGTATACAGTGCGTTTGTATACAGTGTGAGTTTATAGTGTGTATAAGTGTATACAGTGTGAGTTTGTATGCAGTGTGAGTGTATAGTGTGGTGTGTGTGTATACAGTATGAGTATATAGTGCGGTGTGTATGTATATACAGTGTGAGTATATAGTGTGGTGTGTATGTGTATACAGTGTGAGTGTATAGTGTGTTTGTGTATACATTGTGAGTTTGTATACAGTGTGAGTGTATAGTGTGGTGTGTATGTGTGTATACGGTGTGAGTGTATAGTGTGGCGTGTGTGTATACAGTGTGTGTAGTGTGGTGTATATGTGTATACAGTGTGAGTTTGTATACAGTGTGAGTGTACAGTGTGGTGTGTATATGTGTGTATACAGTGTGAGAATGTATGTGTGCTGTATATGTGTGTACAATGTGAGTTTGTATATTGTGGTGTGTGTGTATACAGTGTGAGAGTGTATGTGTGGTGTGTATATGTGTGTATAGTGTGGTGTGTGTGTGTATAGTGTGATGTGTGTATACAGTGTGAGTGTATAGTGTGCTGTGAATGTATAGTGTGGTGTATATGTGTGTACAGTGTGAGTTTGTATAGTGTGGTGTGTGTGTTTGTGTATACAGTGTGAGTGTATGTGTGGTGTGTGTATACAGTGTGAGTGTATGTGTGGTGTGTGTATACAGTGTGAGTGTATGTGTGGCGTGTGTATACAGTGTGAGTGTCAAGTCAAGTCAGCTTTATTGTCGGCAGAACACAGTGCAGGCGCCATACCACATGGTGATGCAGCTGGTCAGAATGCTCTCGATGGTACCTCTGTAGAAGGTGCACATGATGGGGGCTGGGCTCAGTTTGCGGAGGAAGTAGAGGCGCTGATGAGCCCCTCTGGCCAGTGATGCTGTGTTGTTGGCCCAGGAGAGGTCCTCTGTGACGTGCACGCCCAGGAACTTGGTGCTGTTCACTCTCTCCACAGCAGCACCGTTGATGGTCAGAGGAGCATGCTGGGTGCACGTTCTCCTGAAGTCCACAATGATCTCCTTCGTCTTCTCTATGTTTAGAGGGAGATTGTTGTGTCTACACCACAAGGCCAGGAGGCTCACCTCGCTCCTGTAGTTTGTCTCATCGTTGTTGCTGATGAGACCCACCACAGTCGTGTCGTCCGTGAACTTGATGAAGAGGTTGCTGTGCAGTCGTGGGACATCAGAGTGAATAGGAGGGGGCTCACCACACATCCTTGGGAGGCCCCTGTGTTCAGTGTGATGGTGCGGGATGTGTTGTTGCTGGCCCGTACTGTCTGTGGTCTCCCAGTCAGGAAGTCTAACAGCCACTTGCGCAGTGAAGGGTTCAGCCCCAGCCTGTCCAGTTTGAGAATGAGCTGCTGGGGGATGATGGTGTTAAATGCGGAGCTGAAATCTATGAAAAGCATTCTGACATAAGAGTCTTTTTTGTCCAGATGTGTGAGGGCTGAGTGGAGGGCAGTGGAGATGGCATCATCAACTGAGTGATAAGGCCGATATGCACACTGGAAGGGGTCCAGGGAGGGGGGGGAGGACAGACTCGATGTGTTGCATGACCAGCCGTTCGAAGCACTTCATGAGGGTGGGAGTGAGTGCAACCAGACAGTAGTCATTGAAACAGGAGGGTGACGCTTTCTTCAGGACAGGGGTGATGGTGGTGGCTTTCAGGCATGTGGGGACGACAGCCTGACTCAGCGAGATGTTAAAGATATCTGTAAAGACATCTGTGAGCTCCACAGCACAGTCCCTCAGCACACGACCGGGTATGTTGTCAGGACCAGGAGCTTTCCGAGCATTGATCCTGCTGAATGATCTTCTCACACTGACTGGGCACAGGGTCAGCACCTGGTGTTCCGGAGGGGGTGGGATCTTCTGTGCAGGCATGTTGTTGTCTGCCTCAAACCGGGCAAAGAAGTTGTTAAGCTCATTCAGCAGAGAGGTGGAGCTATCACAGGTCTGCGTTGGGGGCTTGTAGTCTGTGATGATCTGTATCCCCCGCCACAGGCTCCGTGTAGCTCTGCTGTCGCTGAAGCGATGGGCTATCCTCCTGGAGTACTGCCTCTTAGCCTTTCTGAAACCGCGGGACAGGTTGGTCCTAGCTGCTCTCAGGCCCACCTCGTCTCTTGTTGAGAAGGCAGCATTCCTAGCCTTCAGTAGCCTGTAGACCTCCCATGTCAGCCATGGCTTCTGATTGGCCCGAACCGTGATGGTCTTGAGAACAGTTACATCCTCAATGCACTTGGAGATGTAGCTGGTGACTGTGTCAACATACTCCTGGAGATCTGTCGTGCTGTTGTAGGTTGCCGCTTGTTTAAACACATTCCAGTCTGTGGTGTTAAAACAGTCTTGAAGTGTCTCTGAAGACCCTTCACACTCGTACCTGCTTCCGAACTGGTTTGGTGACTTTAACCAGTGGTCTGTATGCTGGCATTAGTATAACAGTGATGTGGTCCGAGGCACCAAGGTGGAGGAGGGAAATGGCCTTGTAAGCTTCTCTCTGGGTGGTGTAAACATGGTGCAGTGTGTTTTTTCCCCGTGTTGGAAAGTCTATGTGTTGATATATTTTTGGAAACACACTCTTTGGGTCTGCATGATTGAAATCTCCAGCCAAGATGAGAAAAGCATCAGGGTGGGCTGTCTGCTGCTCACTGATGTGTCAATACAGCTCATTCAGTGCCTCGCTCCTATTGTTGTTATTGGAGCTCGGAGGGATATAAACAGCGACGATTATAACAGCATTAAATTCCCTCAGTAGGTAGAATGGTCTGCACTCAATAGTCATAAACTCCACTAATGGTGTTTGCAGACCACAGCAGCGTCGCGACACCAAGCATCGTTGATGTAAACACAAAGCCCCCCGCCTCAGGTCTTACCTCCTTCAACAAGAGCTCTGTCCGCTCGATAGCATGTTAGCCGCTTGAGCTGAATGGCGTGGTCCGGGACATTGTTACTGACGGATACCTCCGCGCTCCCTCTTCTGCTTCCGCTCATGCCGCTTGTGGCGCCTTCACTCTGGGCGAGATGCAGTAGTGGTGGGCGGTGTTGGTGCCGGACTCCTAAGCAAACCGCAGACTCGTAGCTCTTCCTTGTGCTGCGAGTTTAACTCTAAAAATGAGGTTCTGCCAATGTCGAGCTGGAACTTATGGCTGTATGTGCTCTTCAAGACAGGTAAACGCGATGAAGACATACAAAAACCCTGCGACTTGCAGGACAAAAAACACGAAACACCATTTCAACAGGAGGGAGAGAAGCCGCAGCATGGTAAAGGTAGTGATTATAGGGATAATGACAACTTTAATCAGTGATTGTGACAGTGATTGTGGAGATAAAGATAGTGATAATAGTGATGATGGTGCTCATAATGATAATGCAGCTATAATCAGGATTATGACAGTGATTGTGGTGATAGTGATATTAGTGATGATGTTGATGGTGTTCATAATGATAATGCAGCTATAATCAGGATTATGACAGTCATTGTGGTAATAGTGATATTAGTGATGATGTTGATGGTGTTCATAATGATAATGCAGCTATAATCAGGATTATGACAGTGATTGTGGTGATAGTGATATTAGTGATGATGTTGATGGTGTTCATAATGATAATGCAGCTATAATCAGGATTATGACAGTGATTGTGGTGATAAAGATAGTGATATTAGTGATGATGGTGATGGTGCTCATAATGATAATGGAAGCTATAATCAGTGATTATGATAGTGATAGGGCGGCACGGTGGCGCAGTGGGTAGCGCTGTCGCCTCACAGCAAGAATGGCCTGGGTTCGATTCCCGGCTGGGTGACACAGGTTTCTGTGTGGAGTTTGCATGTTCTCCCCGTGTCTGCGTGGGTTTCCTCCGGGTACTCCGGTTTCCTCCCACGGTCCAAAAACATGCAGTC